AGAGCAAAGTAGTAACTTAAAACAGAATCTCAACAACTATAATCTTATTTCTTTTAAAGTACAATTAATGTTTTATCATTAGAAAGTCAGAGACATCAAAATTAGTAAGAAACCATTGTTTCTTTTCTCTAAACTTTATGTAGGGTTATGTGTTATGCCTACTTTTCCTGTTGTCAGTAGTATTTTCTTATTTTCAACATATAGAAAAAAATTTTAGAAAATGAATTTTGTACTTTAACCTCTTCATTAATTTATTAAATTAATAATTATTACAATTTGAATAAAAAATTAAAAATAGAGGAAGTTGCTGAAATGTCACCAAGCGCAACATATTTGAGCACTGGCAAGAGAACTCTAATTAGAGATTTTATGTGTAGTTGGCCCTCCATATCCACGGGTTCCCCATCTGGGGATTCAACCAACTATGGGATGGGAAATATTCAGGAGAAAAAATTATGTCTTGTACTGATTATGTACAGGTTTTTTTTTGTGTGTGTATTATTCCCTAAACAAAACAGTATAACAATTATTTACATAGCACTTACATTATATTAGGTGTCATCAGTAATCTAGATATGATTTAAAATATATAGGAAGATATATATGGTTAGATGCAAATATTATACCATTTTTATGTAAGGGACTTGAGAATCCGAAGAGTTTAGTATTCTCAGGGGTCGTGGAACCAGCTCTCCATGGATACTGAGGGAAACTATACTAGAGAATATGGTTAAGTCTGTTTACCTTCCTCGGCTCCCAACGCTGGAGGCACTAGGTGAACGTATTGGGGGGTGGACGCTAGTCTTGTAACAGGTCCTGAGGAGGGGGAAATCATACACATTCATAAATGAATTAATAATTATGTACTGAAGTCCTATTGAATGTGCTCACTTAACACTACACTGAAATTGGAACAAAAAATAAAATTCTACACAACAGTAAGTAGTTGCCGAAGTCTAAGCACAATCTGTTATTTCTCTGCTATTACAATAGCAGGGTTTTCGATCTCAACACTACTGATTTGAGGCAAGGGAATCCTCTGGTGTGGGAATGTCTGTATATTACAGAATGTTTGACAGTATTCCTCATTGGTACTAGTTCTAAGTTGTCAGAAGCATCTCTCCACACACACCTCCTAAATTAGAGTGTGATAATCAAAAATATGTCTTTCCTGCATTACAGTAACCAGGCAGATCTCGGTGAGAACTTCAGTGCCAATGAAAGCTACAAAAAGAATAAAAAAGTGTAGGGGATGATATAACGAAAAGGAGTTCAAGAAAGAAAACAACGGACTGGAGGTATGGCTCGAGTGGTAGGCAACCTGCTTGGAAGTGTGAAACCCTGAATTCAAACCCCAGTCCCACCAAAAGAAAAAAGAGACAGACAGACAGAAAGAAAACAACCATCAAAAGAAACCAATTAATAGAGATAATCAAAGTTAGACAGAGAGGTTCAGATGTGAGGCAGTAAACAAGAGAGGCTCTGCACTCACTACTGTCATGAAGACAGAGATTAAGAATCTATGCTCTGGTAGCAGTGTAGATCACAAGTGCTTTGCTCAGTGCCTGGCACACAGTCATCAGTATACAGATGTTAGCTTTAGGAATATTGCTAGCATGGTTTCCAGAAATGTTTGGCCAAGTCACACCTTGACCAGCTATTTAGGAGTACCTCTCTTTGTCACCTTCTCATAGAGTACGGTCACTATTTAAATCTTGACTAATTAGTTAGAAACCAAACTGTTTCAATCTTTCTTATGACTAGTAGTGATAGTATACATTTTTGTTTAGTTTTATCGGCTATATGTATTTTCTTTTAAGGGGATACCTACTCATGTCCTTGGTACTACTCATTTATTTATATGAATTTGTCATGCGATAAAGTTTATGTTTAAATAGCTGTTTCCATTTAAATTCTGTAATTGCCTTATATTATGTTAATGTGACTGGTAAAGACTTAAGACATTCTCTTCTTTCCTCGCTTCCATTTAAGACATCAATTATGCCAAGGTCTCCAGGAGTAGTATTACAGTGCCTCTCAGAGGAAAAGAGTAAGTAAGTTAAAAATTCTTAAACGCAACTGAATACACCAAGCAAACCACCAAAGACTGATCTGTGTATTGTCACAAAAAAATTTAACTCTGTCAGGTGCCAGTGACTCACATTTGTAATCCTAGCTACTTGGGAGGCTGAGATTGGGAGGATCAGTTTGAGGCCAGCCAGGCAAATAGTTTCATGAGTCCTCATCTCCAAAATAAACAGAGCAAAATGGCTTAAGTGGTAGAGCACCTGCTTTGTGAGCATGAAGCCCTGAGTTCAAACCTCAGTCTCATCCCCAAACAAACAAACACCCATTCTGAACCATCACAGACAGCTTAATTTATTTATAAGACTATAATATTCATTTCTTTCTTTGAGTGCTATAATACCTATATATTTTGTTGATACTGAAAGGTAATGAAGTTTAATTTCTTTCTTCATAAGAATACTAATTTTAAATAGTACAAAATTCAGAAACATCTTAATCATCCAACTAAAAAATGATGATGCAGAGAGGGTTTTTTAATCATTACAAGTAAAAAAAAAAAAAAATTTACAAAACAGGTGACTTTACCTGCAAGGCCTGGAGATGGCACTGACGAATTCGGTGACTGCACTGTTCTGTTTGAGGGTGGTCTTGGCTGGCTGTTATCTACATTAGTGTCTTTCCTCATAATATTGTCCAGCATAATGGTACTTGAACAATCAATCTTGCAGGAAAAGAAATGATTTCAGGGCAAATTGACTTGCAAGTTAAACAGCTACTTTAGATTTATAAGAAAGCTTCAATCACAATTACTATCAAAAAAAAAAACAGGACATAAGAGTTCTGATAGCTGACTCTCCCTTAAAAAACAATCTAGAAAAAAGTTTACATTCTTTTTTGGTTGCTTCTGTGATTTAAACTCAGAACTTCATGCTTTTGAGGCAGGCACTTTTGAGCCACACCTCCAGCCCCTTCTTAATATTCTTACCTCCTCCTAGTGAGGACATACTATTCTAGAAGTCAATGTTTAGAAAAAAATATAAGTTGAAACAAAAATTCATTTAAAAATAACAGAAGGTACTTGTATTTCAAAAAAGGCAAAAACTAAAAATTTGGTAGAGAAAAGTAGCACAATTTTACATTCCTGTAAATCTCTTTAATGTCTATTGCTAACAGCGACCAAATTAGATTCTTGTATCTGCGTCTGCATTCAATCTTCTGTGATACGTAGTTTCAGATGAAGATAAAGAAAATCTGACTTCTCACAAATGGGCCTTGAGGACCTTCAAAGGTCATAGGATGTCTAAGTACCTGACCCACAATTTAAGACTAGATGCTCTAGGTACGCACTGAACAGATGACGTAAGTCCACACATTGTACACTTCTAAAGCACCAACCTCACAAAGTACATTAGTTTAGTGGGAAAACAAAAGTGATCCTTTTAAGGCAACAAATAAATAACACTGATAGGCTAAATACTGATAAATTTCTAAGTAACAATTTAATGCTTTAGATACAAACATTCTTTCAAAGCCTAAAAACACCAAATTTTCCAAGAATATCTTTGTGCTTAAAATCCAGTTCAATTCTCTCACAGTTCTAGCCTTTCTCAATCAGAAGTTTGTAAGAGAATTACATCTTACAGCTCAAGGGCACAGACTGCATATAATGAATTAACTTTTTGCCTATGCACCTAGAATAGTGCTAGTTAAAACACATCCTTTGAGAGGATTAAAACAATCACTGTGATTCACATGAGGAATTTTAGGAGAGCGAAGCTAGTGAAAGGAAAGAAACAGGAGGGAGATTTTAACTTTCTGTGAGTCCTCTTTGATTCTGGGATAAGTGGTAGGAAGTACAAAAGGGCATTTGTGTTTTAATATTCTCTTGACATTATCTTGGCCAATATTTTTCAGATACTGCAAAAAGAATGGAATCACTAGATTTGTTAATCTTAACATATAAAAGTCATTTGCATTGTATAATCCTAAAGCTAAATAAAACTAAGAATTAGATGTAAGTTTTCCTATATCATCTATGCATGGAAAAATACATGTATTCTACCCATTTAGAGTATATAAAATTATAAAAGGTAAAATGACCCTAGTAAGGTTAAACAATATTGGAAGAAAATTGTTGATCTCAACTTGAAAAATTAAATAATGAAAATAAAAGAAGTTCTTTCACAACCTTACAGGTGATTCCGTCCAAGTAAGGTATATAAATATTTCTGACAAGTTTTTAAATGTTTGGTTTTAATGTTTCATGGCAGTGAATTTACCTAACTTTGTAGGCTAAAAAAGACAAGCTATCCAGAAGGGAGAGAATCATGGAGGACCATGTTTGAAGTTAGCCTGGGCAAATAGTTCAAGAGACCCTATTTTGAAAATACCGAATTCAAAAAAGGGCTGGAGGAGTGGCTTCAAGTAGTAGAGTGTCTGCTTAGTAAGTGTGAGACCCTGAGTCCAAACTGCAGTGCCATTCAAAAAAAAAAAGATGAAACAAGAAATCAACTTAGGTGTGGAGAGCTATCTACAATGTTGTATTTCTGCCTTCGAAAAGATTCATAGAAGTCATACTGACAAAGTTAAGAGCCTGGTGAGTGACGGTTTTATTTAATGTAAATATAAAGCAATCAGATAACTGTGCACTGGTCAGTAGGACATAGCAGAAAATGTTTGATTTCTACTACATTTTGCCATCCAACTTCCCAGTCTTACCCTTCATATTTTTACTTCTCCTTCTTGACAGCTTTTGTCTCATGATCCATCACCTTAAATCAATCATTAATAAAACTCTGAACTACAGGATCCTGAAAGACATTCTGTTGTATGTACAAGTGTTCATAATTTCTATTTTTACTGCTGTTACAGTATTTTTTAAATGAAAGAAATGACTTCCAGAAACAACCTATAATCCAATAATCCTATGCCTTTTCCTAAATCCAAATTCTCTGACAATTCAATAGGAGTTGTTAGTATAAATCTTGTATATACTCACATCTGGGAGAGAAGGTAGATTATAAGAACCGCCCACTGGTGAGCTCAAATCAATCATAGATGAACCAAAAGCCTTTCCATCATATCCTGCGGCACTGGTGATGGTGGGACTGGACGGAGTAGAAGATGTGCTGCTGGCGGTTGATGAGGGGCCATGTCCACTGCTGATCTGCCACTAGAGGAGCAAGAAGGGAAGAAAGCTGCTGTTGATCAATGGGCCTAAAATAGGAAATGTGCCTAGTTACTCTTTCAGACTCAATGTGTAATAGAAGACACATTCTGCTGCTCGATTCAGGAATGAATTCAGTGGAAAGAAATGAGAGGCAATAGGTGTATATGTAACCAGCTTGGAAAAGACATACTAAAAAGGAAATAATAACATACATATAACAACTTAAAGGTAAAGATGGAGGGATGAAAACATAGTTTCTTCTATCCCTTCCTGAAACACCTGACAATAGCAAGCCACAGACCAAGGCTTTCAGGTTTCTTATCCCTCTCTCCTTTTCTGTATATAAACAGAAATTAAGCCTTAGTAAACATCTGAGGAAAGATGTTCATGTTAGAAACTGAGATAAATAAAAAAATAAGATAACGCTGGACTTGAAATCTACAGAGGTGAAGAATGCTGTTTGGTTGCTTTAAAACCTATCCAAAAAAAAACTTGGCTTGATGGAAAGATGAATGGCTAGATAAATGCAAGAGGAAAAAAACTGCCACAACATAGTCACTTATATATGGATGACACTGGAGAGTGGTAATGCCTGAGGTATTTTAAATTTAAAAAATCTAATTCAAATGCTTTACTGTAAAAACGACACACAGAAAAGATATGAAGATGGTTGTGAATGTCTTTACACCTCTCCACCTCTCATAACCCATCCTATACACCCCTTCTCCTCTTCTCCCAAGGATAAGCAATTATGGCTGATGGATACCTTTCCAGGCCTTTTCTATGTATATGAGATTAAAACAAGCACACGCACACACACACAGATAATACCTTGCCAAAATTCCGTAATATGTTTTTTCCTCATATAGCACACTTAGATTATACAGATTAGTGTGTTTTCTCAATATCTGTAAAGTATTTTAGTTTTATGAGTATACTACAATTTGCTAAATCATCAATTAAAATCAATTTCCCACTGTATTTTTCTTCTTGTTCATTCATTTTGGTCAGAAAACACTTAAGAAAAAAATTTTAGATTATCTACACATTAAAATGATTTGATTAAAATGTAAATTACAGTGCAGTGCCATTTTATTTTGGTCTGGGCAAAAAAAGTTAAAAATTGGTCCATAAACTATCAGCTGGAAAAACTGTTGACACAGATCCTTTGAGAAGACAGAGCACTGAGATGGCTTTTAAGATAAAATAAATTCTGGAAAATGTTTTACTAGAAGACATTAATAATATAAATAATAAAACCATATCAGATTTAATATATAACCTTAAATATTAAACCTTTATCAGGTGTATATGTATTACATATTGACATTTTTGCCATAACTAAGTTTGTTTTCCAAGAAATCTCCTTGAAACACTTTCTTTTTGAGGACTGTAACTTGGATTTGTGAGAATACTTTGTCTTAAGATATGCAGTATACAGCACTGGTGCTCAACTAAACGTTGGATGAACCATACTGTGAAACCTAACATCAAGGACTCACTGATTACACAGGCTTACAAAAGTGGCTTTACTGATTACAAAGCAAGGAGAGACTTTTTCTTACTTTTGTCTCCATAGGTCTGTCCATGATAAAGTTTGTAATTCACAGTTATTAAAAGAAAAAAGCAATCGTTCTCTTGCTCTTCATCATCTATTGCTTAATCGATAAACTCAGTGTGATGTGGAAGTAAGGAGAAACAGAAGCAAAGTGAGTCAAGGAGGAGAGATAATAATGTATACCTGTTTTATGGCTTGTTGAGCCAAGAAAGCCACCTGTAGGGGATTGGGCTTTATTGCTTGTCGTGAAAGATTCTGGTTCAGTGGATACCTCAGCTGTTGAGGATGAGGAGGAAGAACTGGTCCGTTGGGCTTAGGGTTGTGATTTTGAAAGTTTATCAAACGTGGAGGGGATTGCTAGAAAAGAGGAATTAAGCCACTTCAGTAACAATTACCACTGTAAAGACACATTACATCGTTCATAAAATTTAGAAGAATGGCAGAAACACTGCCACACATGAATCATGTAAGAAAGATTACAAAAAAGGGAATAGGGAGGATGAGCAGATTTTCAGAATTTGTGTAATCCATTTAAAAAAAGTTTTAATGGGCTGGTGGTGTGGCTCAAGTGGTAGAGCACCTGGAGTTCTGGAGTTCAAACCCCAGTATTGCCAAATAAAGTTTTATTGCAAAAGCACCTTGGGGAAGGTATTGGCAACTAGATTTGTAAAATATTTATACTAAGATCAGACCTAGGCTATGTTGGGAAGTAGATAAAGGTATACTAAGTACCTTTCTAGGTTTTTGTGGCTTTTTAAAATTATTTATTTATTTATTACAAAGAACTACCTCTTCAAACTTTCTAAGATAAAGTGATGGCAGAATAATCATTGCTAGCATTTACTGTGCATTATTAAACATCAGATATTACTTTAAGTGCACCATATACATTGCTCATTTAATCTTAACAGCAATCCTATGAGGTAGGGATTATCTTTATACTAAGGAAACTAAGGTACAGCAAATTTAAGTAACTTGCCCAAGGTTAATAAAGACAGTAAGTGATTTGAACAAAATAGTCTGGCTCCAAAGTCTGTACTTTTTTTTTGGTGGCACTGAGGCTTAAACTCACACTTCCTAGAAAGGTGCTGTAACTACTTGAGCCAGTCCTCCAGTCCCCAAGGTCTGTCTGTACTTTAACAAATCATTAATAGTGAAAATAGTTAACATAATAACATTTAAAAGGTAGTGAGTTTTAGATCCTATTGAACCTTGTGAAGTAGGTACTTTTACCTGTAAGAATTTGGAAACTTTAAGATTAGAAAACACAGGTAACTTGAAAAAAGCCATATAGCGAGTAAAATAAAGCATCAAATCTAGCCTGCCCTATCATTACCAAAACATGTTTTGGTGTTTAACTGGCTGTTGCTTAAGATACTGACTACAACTTAGAGGATATGTCTCTCAAAAGAAAATAGGTTTTGTGATGGGCATGGTGGTACACACCTGTAATCCCAGCACTTAGGAGGTTGAGGCAGGAGGATTATGAGTTCAAGGCTAGACTAAGTGACATAGTAAGACCCTGTCTCAAAAAGACCAAAGAAGAAAAACAAAAATTGATTTTGAAAGGAAATCCCCCAAGGATAAATTGGTTGATTACAGGAAGGTTGGATGAAGGAATCAGAGATAAGGCAACAGTGAGGAAGACAAGTGTACTGTGTTTCCTTCAATGCTAGTCCTGGAAGTTGAGACTGAATCCTAGAAAAAGCACCTTTATATGCCAGCCTCCTTGTCAAGATCCAATTCTCTCTACTGTTGGGGATTTACTGCAAAGCAAACATTTCTTTTCAAGATATTCTAAATGTGTATGACCATATTCTCTCCCCATTCACAGTAGGGACAAATAAGGAATCTGTAAGGTTGAAGTAGCAACACCTCATGCTTTGACACTGTGAAGGCAGAAGCAATAAAGCATAGCCTTGCCCTATTTTTTCCTTACATTTATTGAAATTTACACTCCTATTCTTATTAAAAGAAATAGCAAGACTACTGATATTTTGCTTCCCTCCTTCCTTCTTTTGTATATTAGTTGGTGCTGCACTAACCCTCATTCAAAAGTGGCCAGTAGCTACTAATTCAGTGAAAAACAGATTTAGACACTGTTTCTGGACCAACTGAAACTCTTTAGGTAAACGGTAGAGAAAGAAATACTTGTGCAAAATGATACAGAATCTCAAAACTTTATAGAAGTGTAAGTCTGCGGTCATAGCAGTGTTTTGAGATTTTTCTGTAAGTTCTTCAACTTGAAGGATTTCATGTCACAGAAAAACAGAAAATAGTTCATTATAACATAAATAGGGGAAAATTTCTATGTTTGCCAAAGAATAATTTTCTTTAAAGTGAGAAAACACCCAAAACAGTCCTTTAAAGTTGTTATGGGAGTTTTTTACCACTGTAGTCTCACCTTCTCGTAGGCCGATGTTTATACAGTTATTCAACCAAAAAATGACATGTGGTGTGAGAGCAGTGTGTTGTGGCTTGCAAGAAATCAGTGGAACTCATGCAACTCTGCTGTCAGGAAGCTTGTAGAATGGCAAGGGGTAAGGTGGTATTTCCCCTTTCCTAAACCCGATAGTTGAGTTCATTTATGAGAAACCTGTAACAGGGGAAGTAACTTGATTTTTTTCCCCTATTTTTAGCAGTCCTGGAGTTTAACTCAGGCCTTGAGTTTGCTCTACCACTTGAGTCATGCACTCAGCCTACAAACTTGGAAGAATATTAGAAACCAGTTATGATCTTTAAAGAAATACCAAGACCAGTGATAATTTGCTTGAATGAAATAATTTTCAAGATGCATAAGGAAATTAAGGATAATAACTGAGGATAGAGAAATAACTGAGAACTCCACCAAACAGACATAATCACAGCAAGGACCACTGCCATGTCTTACATATAAAATACATATGCGACAGTTTCTGCAACAAGTAGATCTGTCCAATGGAGTTCAACAGAGTGCACTGTAAATAAACATAGTTTATCAAGCCTGCACTATTAAGTCATCTGAGTAGCTATTCTGCCTTTGTTATCACCTAGCTCTTTTAACTATGCAGAAGACATGGTTAATCTGAAGAAGAACTCGGAGCTATCATGTAAGTGATTTTTATAAGCAGTCCTTCTAATTTACCTATGTACATGAGCATGTACAGAGTGATCTGCACATTCCCACAGAGCCAGCAGCACAGGGACTCACCTGCCTATCAACAGGCATTTCTTAAAGCATACATGCAATAAACTGGTAACAAACTATGAAGGGAGGGTAGTGTGGTAACGTGAAATTTATAGAAGAGGGCAAGCTAATGAGTGAGAGATGTGCAAGTAGGTATGTGACGGAAAGAAGGTGGAAGAGAGGTGAGAATGTGCAAGGAGGTGCAGAGTCACGGAGAGTAGATATGTAAGGTAAGGACCACAAGATGTGAAAAGTATTTCTCAGTGGGAAAATTAGGTTGAATAGTAAGAAGAAGCTGTACTGGATAGAAATTACCTCACAAATACAAACTATTGCACTAAATCCTACAGACTGAAAATAAGACGAAAAGCAAACTTCTGAGAAAAGCAGGCTCAAGGCTCTGGGGTCACTTCTGTTTGGTGCTATTTCTATAAATAACTTTTCACATGGTATCTATTAACTGCTTCAGTTCCTTACTTCTTGGTGAAAAGGCAATTAGATGAAATGAAGGACTCAACCCTTTTCTGTCTAATAAGCTGGTGGGTAAAAATCATGCCCATCACTTTTATCGAGGGTCAAAGTGACCTACAACATAAACCATGCACTTATGTTTTATAAAATTGCTACAAAAAGTTATGCCATTTAATTGAGCTTTCATAAAGAAGAAAAATATTAATTCATGCAAATGCTTGGCATAGGCACTAGGCAAATATTTTCTCTTCTTTCCACACTTTGCTTCAGAAATATTTGAGTACTCTTTTCAGTTTATTTGTAGTACTTATTCTACCCTTAGTTTTCTTAATAAAATCTCAACTCTGTCAGATGCACTCCTGGTATCTAAAGCACACACTTCTCTTCCCATAAACACTAACCACAGAACTTTTAAGTTACTTGTTATTACGTTCTGTAAAAAACAGGTTGAAACAAAGTTTTAAACAGGTATTCTAATTTTACCCCACATTTCACAGGCATTCTTAATCAAATGATTAGAAAGTAAAAAACTTCAAATACACTGCTCCTCAGTGTGAGGACATAACTAGTGGTAGAATGTGTGCTTTAGCATCTGCAAGGTCCTGGCTTCCATCCCATCACTATTAGAAATAAAACAAAACAAAACAAAACAAAACTTCATGTCTATATTATCTTTTATTTAAATCTTCGGCAGTACTGGGCTTGATCTCAGGGCTTCATACTTTTAGACAAGTGCTCTACCACTTGAGCCATGACTCCAGTTTCTGCTCATCAATTTTATTGAGGGTCAAAGTGTCCTACAACATAAACCAAGTTCATGTTTTGTAAAATTGCTACAAAAAGTTATGCCATTTAATTGATTTTTTTCATAAAGAACCCACAGCTGGGCATGGTGGTACAAGCCTATAATCCCAGCATTCAGGAGGCAGAGGCAGGTCAGCCTGGGCTATATAGCAAGACCTGTCTTAAAACAAAAACCCCTCCACACATTATACATTCCTCTTAGTGCTAGTAAAATACCAGTAAAACCTTTGATTAAGTGGCTTATTTCTTTATTAGACAGAGATAGCTATGTTATTCCAGTTTCCTCTGGTTGTCAAAAGTTCTGAGCTAAGTTTTGTTCCTGTGTGTACTTAAGGAGTCTTAGCCTCGGTCTGCATACTGACTCTTATCAAACATCATTCCATTTCATTTGTATCATCTACTACAATCACTTCAAATCATTTGTAGAAACAGGAAGAATATAAATTAAAGAAAAAAGTAACTGAAAACAAGACTTTATATGAATTAGGCTTTAAATTCTTTACTAAACCTTAATTAATCTAAGTATGTCCACATCTAACTTGAACAGTATTGGTTAAACTAACCAAGTACAGAAACCTTTTAAGTTCAAGAATCGGGTTGAAAATTAACAGACTATATCACATCTAGTAAAGGTAATGATGGGTGGAATATTTTCTAAGAAGGTTGAAAAGGGTAGGATTCTAATGAACCTCATCCCTGCCCTTTTCTATTCCATATTTCATTGTGCCTAGCTCCTAAGATTCAGTGTGGTTTTCTAAGCACTGTGTTTCCATAGAAGATGGGTTCCTAAAGTAATCACCATTGAGAAGCGTTAACAGGAATTACAGCTACACAGCTTTTTCCATCAATCATAAGCATGGGTTATTTGGGAACACAAACACTTATCTCCTATATTTGAAGACAATGAACAGTAGATGAAAATGAAATGTCCCAACTAAATACATCATTAAATAATTTGTAAGCCATGCTTACAAATATGAGGTTTCCTTATTGATAAAACATAAAAAACATAAGGGTTCCTTATTGATAAATTTTTATGAATTCATTTATTTAAATCAAGATGGTGGATGTCTTTATTTTAAGCTGTTGAACACAATTACACTACAATTATCTAAATTAGGACAGGCCTGCTTCCAAATTTACCTGATGAGAGATGGAAGGCTGCTGGATGGGCCCCTGCATTCTAGGGTTTGGTAAACCCACAGGTGCTGGCCTCCGTTGCACCTGTTGCCTCTGAGCCATTACCTGTTGCTGCATATGCTGGAGTCGTAATTGAGCTAGGTTGATCTGTGTCGGAAACTTGGATAACTGGTTTGAAGATAAACCACCTGATGGCTGTGAATTCTGTTCCACAGCAGGATTCTGCTTAGGCATTTGTGGCTGGCTCTCTTTATCTTCGATTACTAAAGAACCTAATTAAAGAGAAAAGAGGGTGGGATAAGGTTCTTTGGTAGTTGGTAAAATACAACATTTTGTGTGGCTATTTCTGCTCAACTTCAATTACCAAGGAACTGTTTGGTCCAGGACCCCTTTGTATTCTTAAAAGTAGAGGACCAAAGAAGTTTTGTCCATGCAGTTTCTATCAAAATTCACCATGAGAAATTTTCAATTAGAATATAAAAAAAATTACTAGCTCATTAAAAAAAAAATAAAGCCAGAGTAACACATTTTAATGAAAAACTATTTAAAATATATAAAGTGAAGAGTGGCACTGTTTTATATATTTTTTGAAACTCTAAATGTCTGACTTAATAGCTGAACTCTCTTTCTGTTCTTGTATTATGTTATATTATTAGGTTAAAATATGTAATGAAAATCTGGTCTTACACAGATATGTAGTTAGAAAAGGGAAGTTGCCTTGAGAACTGCTATTGGTTTTCAAAACCAGCAAACCTGACACTGGTTCTAAAAATAAGCCCACAGAGTATTTCTGATTCCTTAATATTAACAATTTGTAACCTCTCAAGTTTCTTTACAATGAATATGATTTTAGTTCTCTAACATCTTTAGAATTTAAAGATGTTATCACAAATGTCTGTGATAGCTTTATTTCTGCAACAAAAGATTTTGAATGTTTCTGATTAACTGAACATAATGCATTCTAAAAAAAAAAGCATAGTTACCATTCATTAAACACTTCCTATGCATTTCTGGATGTATCAGGTAGGTATATGTACTGCACATGTATAAAAAGGAATGTTAACTGTTAAAGGATCTAAGGTTTAAAGAGACTGAAAAACTAACCCAAAGGCATCAAGACTAACCAAACATTGATCAAGATGAATATTTTTCTCTAGTACTCTTCTATAAATTGTTTCTCAGAAGCCATGGGTAAGTAAGTTGGGAGAGTCATCTCCTTCTTGGGAGAGTAAATAAAATTACTAAACTGAAAATAATAGCTCTGGTAAGTCCTCCATAAAGGATTTTGCTTAACTTTTTTCTCTGTTTTTTAGAGACAGGGTCTCATTATATAGCTAGAGCTGGTTTCAAATGCACTATGTAGCCCAGACTGGACTGGAATTTGTGATCTTCCTGCCTCAGCTTTCCACATGCTGGGATTACAAGCATGTGCCACCACATATTATTATATCAGTTTCACAAACTCATTTAGCTAAGAGTTCTTATTTTTGTTTTTGCAATACCGATTCATCCAAAACTGTATCTCTTTTACACGCATCCAGTTTTAAATATAAGTTCTTAAATGTACCTATATCTATAAGTTGGTATATTCAAATATTGTAAGGTTTTTAAGTACATGTGTGGATTTGTAACTTGTGGTAGGTCTCAGTTCAGAGGAATGCACAGTAGTAAAGTAGGGTGTGGTAAGGAAGAAAATTACTTACATACATGCTTTTTATTTCTAAAGCAGCTTCTCTGTAGTAAGGTCAGTGAAAGCTGTCTATTATCTAATCAACAGACACGTTTTTATATAGCTATGTGAATACAATTTCTAAAACTGGCCTGCAGGGGTCTCTATCTCCTCTGCTTCACAGTTCCTTCTCTTTCCTTGCGTGGATATAAGTCTATTTCTTCCTTTTCTTGCTCTCTCTCCAGCCATTTTTTTCTCCTTTCCTACCTAGAATCTAGCCTAGAGGACGAGAAAGCAACCATCCTAATGATTCTGAAATAAATCAATGAACCTAGAAATTGGTTTCTGATGAACAAAGAATGTACAGGCAATTCTTAAATTTTCATTTCTGTAGTTTTCCTGTGAGAAATTAAGAAAGGAGGCAAAGAAAATCCTATTTTTTCACTCAGCAAACAGCGTAACAAGAAAGCTAAAGTGATAACTTTCTGCTGAACTGCTTACAAGTATATTTTAGGTCCTAATGTTACTAAATGATAGTCTGTGATAATTCCTTGAGTTCTAGAACTTTTGGGTACTTTTCTGTATTTATATTATACTTCAATTTGGCAAATACACACACACACACACACACACACACACACACACACACAACCCCCCAACACATACAACCTGACCAGGTAAAAGGAAAACATCTTCCCTAAATAAGATAAACCAACTGAACCATTAGGTACTTGACAAATGCAACTAAATAAAAGAAAGCTAGTACAGTTTGAGAAATAGCATTTTAGTAGAAAACACTTTATCAAAACTCCTAGGCTAGGGACGTGGTTCAATAGTAGGGCACTTGTCTAGCATGAGTGAGGACAGAGGTTAAACCCCCAGTATCAAAGAAAGACCATCTTGGAGTGATTCCAAGATGGCGGCCAGAGGGAGGAAGCAGAAAGCGAGCCTTCTATAGTGAAATCTTGGAGGGACGCTGGAGATACACTTTGCAGGCATAATCACTGAGAAGAGGTGAAACTTTGACCCCTCCACACCTCCAGCCGGCACAGAGAATCTCCACTTCACCTTAAACGGAGAAACCAGGAGGACCCCTGGGCCGCCAGTCGCCGGTGCCCAGATGGCTTGGGAAGACGCGGACCAGGTGAGCTTTGCAGTACCGCGGTAATCCCACAGACAAGCCTGGGCCAGAGCAGCATAGGCCCCTGGACAGACTGACCTCCACCCGGGAAAAAAAGAGAAACTGAGTAATAAGCAGTAAGAACGATAAAGACACCTGGGAAAGAGGGTGGAGCCCCCTAAGCGCTGAAGATTGGGGGAAGGGAATCCTTCCCGGAACTGTAAATAAAGAAGCCAGGCGGGCCAGAGAGGCTCTGGCAGGTGCGGGGCGCCCAGCAACCAGGAGCAGGAAAACTTGTAAGAGTGGCGCAGGGAGGAAAACTCCACAGGAGAGGAGGGAAGACCCACTTCCCACGTGAACTGTAAACAAACATGGAGGCTGGCAGGAGCAGCAGCACCGCCCAGTAATCAGGAGCAGGAAAGCTTGTGAAAGCGGAGGTGGGAGGAGAACTGCACAGGAGAGGGGGGAAGACCCACCTCCCACATGAACTGTAAATAAACACGCAGGCCTGACAACGCGGGTGCAGTGTCACCTTTCCCAGTGCTTGGAAAGGGGAAAGCTTGTAGCAGAGGCTCCTGCACAGGAGAACTCTGAGCAACAAAGCCTGCAGGGCCAGGTGAGTGCTAAGTTCACCCCAGAGATCTGCATAAATAAAGCCTCAAGCAACAGCAGGCTGACAGCAGTGGGCAGGCAAGCCACAGCGGCAGATTCCATTCTCAGAACTGTCTCCAGACTCTTTTTTTTTTCTTTGTCTCCATACCTTTGATGAGAAAACAACTGAACTACACCTGCAAGCTGAAAAACTTACTGAAACTGTATTGCATTTGAACTTGGGACACCAGGTGGGTTTTTTTTGTTTGTTTGTTTGTTTTTTTGGTGTGTGTGTGTAGTTTTGTTCTACTTTATGCGTCCCCGTTGATGAGACAACTACAGAACAACATCTGAGGCACCATCTCCAGGACTTGGAGACTGAGACGGACACAAATTATTAAGACTGAAACTTCATTGCATTTGAATTTGGAGGTTTTGGTTTTTTTTTTTTTTTTTATTTTTTTATTTTTTTTTTTTTTTTTTAAATTTTCTATTTTTCATTTTATTTTTATTTTTATTTTACTTTCATTTACTTTTTTATTTTTGATTTTCAATCCTCTCTCTCTAATGTCTGTTCAGCTTACTGTCATTAGTACACTAAAGCTCCCTGTTTATACCTTTGAAACTTTCTTGTCTGAACCTTGTTCTGTTTCTCCTCTCTGTGTATTTGTTTTTCCCTTTCTTTAACTTCTTGCTTTCCATCTCAGCTCACCTTCCATTCTAAATATTACCATTGTTATTATTACAAGCTAGAAAATACTTAATTGCACACAGTACAGGGACAGTAACAACACCAAAGACAATGACGGGAAGACAGAAAAAACAGGGAAACCAGTTTCCCCACAGCAAAAAATTAGTACAGGAACCAGAGGGGAATGAAGAAAACAGATACTCAGATCCAGACTCCAACAAAATGAAGATAAACTATGCCAAAGGACCCAATGAAGCCCACAAGAATAATTTAAAAGAAGACATACTACAGGTACTCAATGAGAATTTTATAGAGATGATACTGGATAGGGTCAACCAAAATGTACAGGAGACACTCAAGAAATTCCAAGACAACAAAAATAGAGAATTTGAAAAAGCAAAAGAAGAAATAAAGGAAACCATAGAAGCACTGTATAAACACCAAAGTGAAACAGAGAACACATGAATAAACAGATAAATGAACTCAGGACAAAAATAGACAACATTAAAGAGGAAACCACCCAGGATATGGAAAACCTCAGAAAAAAGAACGAAACAGAACTGCAAAACAAAACGGAAGGCCAATCCAGCAGAATAGAACAAACAGAAGACAGAATCTCAGAACTTGAAGATGAAATGGTAATTAAAGGAAAAACCAAAGAACTATTAATTAAACAACTCAAGACCTGTGAAAAGAAAATGCAAGAACTCACCGACTCCATCAAAAGACCAAACTTGAGAATCATGGGCATCGAAGAAGGAGAAGAGGTGCAAGCGAAGGGAATGTGTAATATATTTAACAAAATAATAACGGAAAATTTCCCAAATCTAGAGAAAGATATTCCCATACAGATGCAAGAGGCCTCCAGGACACCAAACAGACCAGATCAAAATAGAACTACCCCACGACATATCATCATTAAAACAACAAGTTCAGAAACTAAGGAAAGAATATTGAAGGCTGTAAGAGAGAAAAAAAAGTAACATACAAAGGTAAACCCATCAAAATCACAGCAGACTTCTCAACAGAAACATTAAAAGCAAGAAGAGCGTGGGGTGAGATCTTCCGGGCACTGAATGAAAATAACTTCAACCCCAGGATACTCTACCCAGCAAAACTATCATTCAAAATAGATGGAGCAATAAAAGTCTTCCATGATAAGCAGAAACTAAAACAATATGTGACCACAAAGCCACCACTACAAAAGATTCTTCAAGGGATTCTGCACACAGAAAGTGAAACCCAACTTAACCATGAAAAGACAGGCAGCACCAAACCACAGGAAAAGAAAAAGCAAGACAGTAGAGAGTAACCTCAACTTAGGTACACACAATCAAACCTTCAAACAACTAAGACAACTAAATGACAGGAATCACCACATACCTATCAGTACTAACACTTAATGTTAATGGACTTAATTCACCCATCAAAAGGCACCGCTTGATGAAATGGATTAAAAAGGAAGATCCAACAATTTGTTGCTTACAGGAGACCCATCTCACTGACAGAAATAAGCATAGGCTTAGGATGAAAGGCTGGAAGAAGATTTACCAAGCCAATGGCCCCCGAAAACAGGCAGGAGTAGCAATACTTATCTCTGACAAAGTAGACTTCAAACCTACATTGATCAAACGAGATAAAGAAGGACATTCCATACTAATAAAAGGGGAAATAGACCAAAAGGAAATAATAATCATCAACCTGTATGCACCCAATGTCAACACCCAATTTCATCAAACATACCCTGAAAGACCTAAAAGCATATATAACGCCAACACAGTGGTTGTGGGAGACTTTAACACCCATTATCATCAATAGATAGGTCATCCAAACAAAAAATCAATAAAGAAATCCAAGATCTAAAATATGCAATAGATCAAATGGACCTAGTTGATGTCTACAGAACATTTCATCCAACTTCTACACAATATACATTCTTCTCAGCAGCCCATGGAACCTTCTCCAAAATAGATCATATCCTAGGGCACAAAGCAAGCCTCAGCAAATATAAGAAAATAGAAATTATACCGTGCATACTATCTGATCACAATGCAGTAAAAGTAGAACTCAACAACAAAAGTAAAGACAAAAAACATGCAAACAGCTGGAAACTAAATAACTCATTACTTAATGAACAATGGATCATTGATGAAATAAAAGAGGAAATTAAAAAGTTCCTGGAAGTCAATGAAAATGAAAACACAACCTACCGGAACCTATGGGACACAGCTAAGGCAGTCCTGAGAGGAAAGTTTATAGCCATGAGTGCATATATTAAAAAGACTGAAAGATCCCAAATCAATGACCTAATGATACATCTCAAACTCCTAGAAAAACAAGAACAAGCAAATCCCAAAACAAATAGAAGGAGAGAAATAATAAAAATAAGAGCTGAAATCAACGAAATAGAAACCAAAAAAACCATACAAAGAATTAATGAAACAAAAAGTTGGTTCTTTGAAAAAATAAACAAGATCGATAGACCCCTGGCAAACCTGACTAAAATGAGGAGAGAAAAAACCCAAATTAGTAGAATCAGGAATGCAAAAGGGGAGATAACAACAAACACCATGGAAGTCCAGGAAATCATCAGAGACTACTTTGAGAACCTATATTCAAATAAATTTGAAAATCTTAAAGAAATGGACAGATTTCTAGATACATATGATCATCCAAAACTGAACCAAGAGGAAATTAATCACCTGAATAGATCTATAACACAAAATGAAATTGAAGCAGCAATCAAGAGTCTCCCCAAAAAGAAAAGTCCAGGACCTGATGGATTCTCTGCTGAATTCTATCAGACCTTTAAAGAAGAACTGATACCAACCCTCCTTAAACTGTTCCATGAAATAGAAAGGGAAGGAAAACTGCCAAACACATTTTATGAAGCCAGTATTACACTTATCCCAAAACCAGGCAAAGACACCTCCAAAAAGGAGAACTATAGGCCAATCTCCTTAATGAACATTGATGCAAAAATCCTCAACAAAATAATGGCAAACCGAATTCAACAACACATCAAAAAGATTATTCACCACGACCAAGTAGGCTTCATCCCAGGGATGCAGGGGTGGTTCAACATACGAAAATCAATAAACGTAATAAACCACATTAACAGAAGCAAAGACAAAAACCACTTGATCATCTCAATAGATGCAGAAAAAGCCTTTGATAAGATCCAACACCATTTCATGATAAAAGCTCTAAGAAAACTAGGAATAGAAGGAAAGTACCTCAACATTATAAAAGCTATATATGACAAACCTACAGCCAGCATTATACTTAATGGAGAAAAACTGAAACCATTCCCTCTAAAATCAGGAACCAGACAAGGATGCCCACTATCTCCACTCCTATTCAACATAGTACTGGAATTCCTAGCCAGAGCAATTAGGCAAGAAGAAGGAATAAAAGGAATACAAATAGGTAAAGAAACTGTCAAAATATCCCTATTTGCAGACGACATGATCCTATACCTTAAAGACCCAAAAAACTCTACTCAGAAGCTTCTAGACATCATCAATAGCTATAGCAAGGTAGCAGGATATAAAATCAACATAGAAAAATCATTAGCATTTCTATACACTAACAATGAGCAAACTGAAAAAGAATGTATGAAAACAATTCCATTTACAATAGCCTCAAAAAAAATCAAATACCTAGGTGTAAACCTAACAAAAGATGTGAAAGACCTCTACAAGGAAAACTATACACTTCTGAAGAAAGAGATTGAGGAAGACTATAGAAAGTGGAGAGATCTCCCATGCTCATGGATTGGTAGAATCAACATAGTAAAAATGTCGATACTCCCAAAAGTAATCTACATGTTTAATGCAATTCCCATCAAAATTCCAATGACATTCATTAAAGAGATTGAAAAATCTACTGTGAAATTTATATGGAAACACAAGAGCCACGAATAGCCAAGGCAATACTCAGTCAAAAGAACAATGCAGGAGGTATCACAATACCTGACTTCAAACTATATTACAAAGCAATAACAATAAAAACAGCATGGTACTGGCACAAAAACAGACATGAAGACCAGTGGAACAGAATAGAGGACCCAGATATGAAGCCACACAACTATAACCAACTTGTCTTTGACAAAGGAGCTAAAAATATACGATGGAGAAATAGCAGCCTCTTCAACAAAAACTGCTGGGAAAACTGGTTAGCAGTCTGCAAAAAACTGAAACTAGATCCATGTATATCACCCTATACCAAGATTAACTCAAAATGGATCAAGGATCTTAATATCAGACCCAAACTCTAAAGTTGATACAGGAAAGAGTAGGAAATACTCTGGAGTTAGTAGGTATAGGTAAGAACTTTCTCAATGAAACCCCAGCAGCACAGCAACTAAGAGATAGCATAGATAAATGGGACCTCATAAAACTAAAAAGCTTCTGTTCATCAAAAGAAATGGTCTCTAAACTGAAGAGAACACCCACAGAGTGGGAGAAAATATTTGCCAGCTATACATCAGACAAAGGACTGATAACCAGAATATATAGGGAACTTAAAAAACTAAATTCTCCCAAAACTAATGAACCAATAAAGAAATGGGCAAGTGAACTAAACAGAACTTTCTCAAAAGAAGAAATTCAAATGGCCAAAAAACACATGAAAAAATGCTCACCATCTCTAGCAATAAAGGAAATGCAAATTAAAACCACACTAAGATTCCACCTCACCCTGTTAGAATAGCCATCATAGCAACACCACCAACAACAGGTGTTGGCGAGGATGCGGGGAAAAAGGAACCCTCTTACACTGTTGGTGGGAATGTAAACTAGTACAACCACTCTGGAAAAAAATTTGGAGGCTACTTAAAAAGCTAACATTGATCTACCATTTGATCCAGCAATACCACTCTTGGGATATACCCAAAAGACTGTGACACAGGTTACTCCAGAGGCACCTGCACACCCATGTTTATTGCGGCACTATTCACAATAGCCAAGTTATGGAAACAGCCAAGATGCCCCACCACTGACGAATGGATTAAGAAAATGTGGTATCTATACACAATGGAATTTTATGCAGCCATGAAGAAGAACGAAATGTTATCATTCGCTGGTAAATGGATGGAATTGGAGAACATCATTCTGAGTGAGGTTAGCCTGGCCCAAAAGACCAAAAATCGTATGTTCTCCCTCATATGTGGACATTAGATCAAGGGCAAACACAACAAGGGGATTGGACTTTGAGCACATGATAAAAGCGAGAGCACACAAGGGAGGGGTGAGGATAGGTAAGACACCTAAAAAACTAGCTAGCATTTGTTGCCCTTAATGCAGAGAAACTAAAGCAGATACCTTAAAGCAACTGAGGCCAATAGGAGAAGGGGACCAGGAACTAGAGAAAAGGTTAGATCAAAAAGAATTAACCTAGAAGGTAACACACACGCACAGGAAATTAATGTGAGTCAATGCCCTGTATAGCTATCCTTATCTCAACCAGCAAAAACCCTTGTTCCTTCCTATTACTGCTTATACTCTCTCTACAACAAAATTAGAAATAAGGGCAAAATAGTTTCTGCTGGGTATTGGGGGGGTAGTGGGGAGAGGGAGGGGGCGGAGTGGGTGGTAAGGGAGGGTGTGGGGGCAGGGGGAAGAAATGACCCAAGCCTTGTATGCACAAATGAATAATAAAAAAAAAAAAGAAATACCATCTTAAACACAAAAAGCCCCATATGAGAAACAGTCAAGAGGCAACCCATTATGATAAATCTAGAAGTAACAATACAAACAGGATTTTATGGGGGGAATAGTCTCTCTTACCTCAATACCCTGTAAGCCCATATAAATATTTAAAAATATGTACATGTGTTTATATTTATGTATATGTGTTACCATATACATATACATTAATGACACACTGGCAAAAGCATGTTTTAAAAAAAAAGAAAATGGAAACACGTAGGAGATGAAGGACAAAAATGTATATAATGGCCTACCTAAGTTGATAATATTTTGGGCCCAGAAACTAGGATCACAGTGAAACTGGATAGTGTTGTTGGTCACTGGGGAAGCATCACATCTTGCACGGAGAAGATGCCGTAACCGGTATGTAATCTAGAAGAAAGCAGAGAGAGTAGTGAACATCAGTATCTTTATCAGGCAAATACTTTTATTATGCTCCCTGTGACTACCTAGAGTCAGTCTCTGGTATATGTAGGCCAACACATAGCAAGCAGTTATATGTAGGTTATAAAAGTGGCCATACAAAGTAATATTCTTTTGAAAATGTCAAATTTCTGAGGCTTCACTCAGCTGTATTTTTGCATGTAAAACTATGACAAAAATCAGGGTTTTCTAAATTAGCAATGAAATGTTGACAAACAAAAAAAATTTAGCATAACTTGCTCTTATTTTTCTTACTCTTTTAAATATGGGTTCAGAATTAGACTTAGGGGTCTAATGAGTTACAGAGAACACAAACTAATCTCTGCTCAGGAAGTGGAAAGAGGCCTGGTAATGGGACGATTCTCCTTGCTGCTCATGATGGCTCCAGCCCTACCACCTCCTTGCAAATAGCCAACTTTAAATCTCATGTCATCCCACACCATCTGTTTCCCTCCATGCTGCCGTTTCCAATCTCCCTTGGTCCTTGAAGATTTCAGTTCGTGGTTTACTATCATCGTCACCTCCAGCATTAATATTGTCATAATACTTGATGATTCTAATACACAACTGGATGATCTTTCTTTATACCTTACTTCCTCTAGTGCCCAATACCAATAATCCTACAAATGCACCAGTTCCTTTAAGCCTTTGTCTTGCAACTTTCCCTTCCTTCCATCCCACCTTACTCTCCTCTCTGCCCCTCAATATACCTTAAATCCCATGCCAATCACCATAATCATTTTCTTACACACATTCCCAACACTTGTTTCACTCACACAACACAATTACATATACTCTCTTCCCTCTCCTGAACCTTTCCCCAGACAAAACATAACAAAGGAACCTACTCTAAGTATTTCTGCCTGAATACAATTGGATTTGTAAAGCAACTGATCTCATTTCAAACACTTAACCATTTACTTCAGAGGCAGGCCCTTAAGTCTGATTTCCTATTATAAGGTGTTTCTCTGGTTCATTCATTCACTTCCTACTCTCTCTTAAGTGACTGTTTCATACATTCTTTTGTTTTTCAAATTTCCAGCCCCCCCACAACTTCTCAATCTCAGGTGATGGTTTGCTTACTATCTCATTGAGAAAAAAGGAACAATCAGGATCTTCTTCAAGCTTCCATCACCCATCAGTATGGGCACTCCCTTCTGTTAGAAGGGAAACACTATCTACACCTCTACATAAAACCAGTCCTTCCACTTGTGCACCAAGCCCAACATCTCTTGCCTTCTCAGCAATTTCATCTTTCTCCTCTAACAACAAATTTCCTTTTTTTTCAGGATCACACCCATCACCATATGAGCATAATTAAACCTCTGCCAGCTAAAAACAAAAACCCATTGACTCCTTTTTGACTATCATCAACTGCTCCATTTTTCAGATCTCTTTAAAACAAAATCTTCAGATTCATTGCTGTATACTGTTCCCCATTCCTCCCCTCCCATTCTTTTCTGAAACCATTATATTCAGGCTTTCCCACAGGTCAGTTTATTCCCATGGAATTGCTTTTTTACTTGGTTTCGAGTTATCTCAGTTTCCCCCTTATTTCACTAGCTTTTCTTTTTTTTTTTTTGGTGGTACTAGGATTTGAATTGAGGGCTTCATGCTTGTGAGGCAAGTGCTTAATTGCACGAGCTGCACCTCCAGCTTAAACTATCGTATTTGGTGGGTTTTCATTCTTATTCTTCAGGCAGTACTGTGGAATAATCAGTACACCAATGGTTTCTCATCTTACCCAGACTAAACTCATAATAAATTGCAAGGCTTGAGCTAGTTGCCTTTCCATTACTGCTCAGACCTTAACTTGTACTACTCTAACTCATTCACAATTCCAGCCCTGCAGGGCCCCTTGCTATCACCATTATAAAAATACCACCCCCGTCCATGTACTCAGCTAGGAATACTCTCCTTAAACATCTGCAAAATCATCCTATTTAGATAATTTCCCCCACATAACACTGTAATTGATAAAAATGTTCCCACATGTAACCTTTAATTATTATTCTCTAGGGAATTTATATAAGTCTACAAATTCTAATTTTTATTACCACATATTCATTGTAGAAACTAATGGGCTGCATTCATCATACATGCATATAACATACTTTGACCATGCCCAACCCCTAGGATCCTATTAACCCCTGCTCGCCACCCATCCCCTTTATGCTTCTCTAATAGCCCCCCTTCCGTTTTCATGTCCACTTACTCCTTACCTCCTAGATTCCACACAGGAGAGAGAATGTCATACTTATCCTTCTTAGTCTGGCTTATTTCAATTAACATGATCTACAATTATGTCTAATTTCCTATAAATGATAGAATTTTGTTCTTTTTTAAAAAGTCATTCCATTCTGTTTTCTTCCTTCTTTCCTTCCATCCTACCTCCCTCCCTCTCTCCCAGGCATCACAGCTTTGAACTCAGGGCCTCTCCCTTGCTAGGTCGACACTCTACCACTTGAGCCACACTCCCATCCCTTTTTCATTTCAATTATTTTTCAGGTAGGGTCTCACATTTCACTGCAGGCTGTCCTTAGACTTTGATCCTGATCTTTCCCCTCTCTCTGCCTCCCTAGTAGCTGAGATTACAGAATAGCTGGCATGATCTTCTGCTCCTGGGGACATTTTCTTTATCCATTCATCCACTGATGGGCACCTATGCTGACTGATAACTTGACTATTCTGAATAGGGCCACAATAAACATGGGTATGTGAGTATCTCTACTGTTTACTGCCTTTGATTCCTTCAAGAAAATATCCAGGACTGGTACAGTGGAATCACATGGTAGTTTTATTTTTAGTTTCTTGAGGATCCTCCACACTGATGGCAGTAGTGATTGGGCTAATTTACATTCCCACCTCCAGTGTATAAAGATGCACTCTCCATCATCACCAACATTTGTGGTGATTGTTGTTTTTATTTTTTCCCTTAGTGGTACTGGGGTTTGAATTTAGAACTTGTGCTTACCAGGCAGGCCCTCTACCACTTGAGCCAAGCCTCCAGGCTTTTTATTAACCGAGATGGGAGTCTCATGAACTTTTTTTTTTTTTTTTTTTTTTTTTGCCATGGCAGGCCTCAAACTGTGATCCTCCTGATCCATCTTCCAAGTATCTAGCATTACAGGCATGAGCAACCATCCCTGCCCTGATTTTATGACAGCCATTTCATTGAGGTAAGATGGAATCTCAGTTTAGTTTTGATTTGCATTTTTCTGATGGCTAAATATGTTGAAAACTATTCATGTGTTTATTAGCCATATTTACTTCTTGAGAAATGTGTCTCTAGGTCATCTGCCTATTTACTGATTACATTACTTGTTTTACTGTTAACTTTTCGAGTTCTTCGTATCTTCTGGATATTAATCCTCCGTTCAATGAATGGCTGACAAAGATCTTCTATTCTATAGGCTTTGTATTCACCCTGTTGCTTCTTGTGCAGAAGTTTTAGAGTTTGAGCCAGGTACCTATGGCTCATGCCTGTAATCCTAGCTACTTGGGAGGTTGAGATCAGGAAGATTGTGGTTCTAGGCCAACCTGGGCAAACAGCTTACAAAATCCCATCAAAAAATGGACTGGAGGTGTGGTTCAATCCATAGAGCACCTGCTTCGAGTTCAACCCCAAGTCCTACACACACACAAAAAGCTTTGTATTTTGATGCAGTAACATTTGTGGATTCTTGCTATTGTTTCCTGCATTATTCAAGTCCTACTCGTGAATTCATAGCCTATGCCTGTATATTTAACTATCTTCCCCTGGTTTTCTCCTAGTAGCTTCAAAGTTTCAGATCTTATATTAAGATCTTTGATCCATTTCGAAGTGATTCTTGTACGGGGTGAGAGGGATCTAATTTAAGTCTCTGACATGTGGACTTCCAGTTTTCCCAGCACATTTGCTATAAGAAAATACATTTTCTCCAATGTATATTTTTGGCATCTTTGTTGAGAATTAGATGGCTATAGTTGTATGGGTTTATTTCTGGGTCCTCTATTCTGTTTCACTGATCTATAGGTATGTTTTTAATCTAGCACCACGTTGTTTTTATTACTATGGCTCTAGTATAATTTGAAGTCACATAGTATAATACCTTCAACATTGCTCTTTTGGCTCATTACTGTTTACCTATTCATGTTCTTTTGTGATTCCATATGAATTTTAGGATTGTTTCCTTCTATTTGGGTGAAGAATGTTATTAGTGTTTTTATGGAGATTGCACTGAATCAAACCTATAAATTACTTTGGTAATATGACCATTTTAACAATACTAATTCTGTTGATCCATAAACATGGGAGATCCTCCCATCTTCAAATGTCTTCTTCAATTTTTTAAAATGTATTTTCATTGTAGAGGTATTTTAGGTTTATTTCTGTTTTTGTTGTTGTTTGATTGTTTTCTGAGTCTCTTGTGAGTGGACTTGTTTTCCTGATTTCTTACTCAAGTTCCTTGTTTTACAAAAACCTACTTAGTTTTGTATGTTGGCTTTGTATCTTGCTATATTGCTGAATTTTTCAAATCTAAGTCTTCTGGTGGAGCCTCTAGAACCTTTTAAGTATGCAATCGTATCATCTGCAAATAGTGATAATTTGACTTTTTTCTTTCTATATGCATTTATTTCATTTTCTTGCCTTATTGCTCTGGTTAAAATTTGAAGAAATGGGAACATTTCTGGTATTATTTCACTGAATATGTTTTCTATGCCAAAAATTTGTAAGCTTGATCTTTTAATCATGTCCCAAAGGCCTCATGTATTCTATTCACAATCTCATTTTTTTCTTTATTACTGTCTGAATGGAATAATTCATCAACCTTGTCTTCAAACCCTCATATTCTTTCTTTTGCTTGACTATGTCTTTTGGTGAGGCTTCCCACTGGGTCTTTTATTTTACTTATTGAACATTTTATTTCCAAGATTTCTGTTTGGATCTTTTTCAAAATCTCTTTCTCTGCTGAATTTCTTGTTCATATCCTGTATTGTCTTCCTTAATTCACTGTTTTTCTATATTCTCTTGGAATCTATTATCTTTTTTTTAATTTTTAAAAACACTTCTAATACGTAAGTTTAATCTCATCAAAGCAAATTGCTTTGCTTCCTTCAAGTTCCATTATCTTTTAAAAATTAATTTTTTTAAATTCATCTAGCATTCATTCATTTTAATATCTTTGGAGTCAGTTTAAAGAGAATTATGAACCGTTGGAGGAATGTGCTGCCTCAATTTTTCATATTTCTTATATTGTTGAGATTTGCATGTTATTTGGGATGCTTCCATTTTTATGCAAGAGCCTTTTAAGGAAGCAGCCTTCTCTTTGCAATGTCTACTGGAATATTAGATTGCTGTGAAATGCAAAATTCCAATTGGATTTCAGAGTATAGTTTCCCTGTTCTTTCTTTGGTGATTAGTGCTTTGGCATGGTGTGTAGTATGTTGGAGCCTGAGGGTCCTGCTTTCTCTGCAGGTGTCACAAAAGTGGGTTCCCTCTAGTAATCAGGAAGTTGTGTTGTACACAGAATAGGTGGGGTACACCTTCTGTTATTACTTCTCTAGTATTCTCAAGGTCTATGGTCTGAAAGAGTATGGGAGGGATTTATGCTGAGCTCCTTTGTAGGGTATGTGCCTATACTCTGTGTTCTGTTTCTCTGTTGTTGCTATAAGAATTAATGTTCAAGAACAGTCTTCAGCAGACCTCCCTAGCCCCTTGCCCAGTCATGCCTACTTGGGACCTAACCCTTGACTATTTCTTTTTAAATCTCTCCTATTTTGAGTTAAAATATTCATCAAATTTTGAGTGGGGCTAAATGGCTGTGGAGCAAGGTGTGCTGTCTCTCAGCTGGGTGAAAGTGTGGCACAGCAACAGAACATTTACTGAAAGTATTCAAAGGAAATCAGCTATCGGTACCACCCAGGAGCTTGTCAGAAATGCCCAGTAAAAGGTTGGGGGTGTGGCTTATGTGGTATAATGCCTGCCTAGCAAGTGCAAAGCCCTGAGTTCAAACCTCAGTACCACCCCCCCCACACCACATAAAAAGTGCACTCTGTCTCACACCAGACAGAAGCAGTAATCACACTTTCAGTTAACAAGGTTCTAAGCTATTGTCAAATCAGCTCACAAATCAGAGCCACCCTTCAAATGGAGTTGAAATACCCAGCATCACATACTGTGTTGACAAGACACAGACATTGAGGTGAGGGAGGTCTGACGTCATGGATTGAATGTTGCTAATACCTATTTACTGGGTAATGTTAGGCATAATACTTAACTCTGTGCCTTTGTTTCATCTTCTGTAAAATGGGGGATTGACCACATCTTATCTATCTGAGAATGATGTAAAATATTATATGGAAAATGTGTCAAATTAGACCCTGGCACACTAGGTAAACAGTAAATGTCTATTATCATTATTTTATTTTTTTATAGATTTTTTTAATTAGTATGTGCATACATTGTTTGGGTTCATTATTTTATTATCATTACTGTTTGTATTAAGTTCAATTTCCATATGAGACGGGGGTGAGAATGTTAGCCTAAAATTGAAGTTATATCTAAATCATGCTTGGTAAAAATATTTTTTAGAACCAGAATATTTTGATCAATGAAAATTAGAAATAGGTTAAAAAAATTAAGTTAAAACAGATTATGTCCATTTCTGATTTCTATTTTGTTTTGAGACAGGGTCTGGCCTCGAACTCCTGAGCTCAAGTGATCTCCCACCTCAGCCTCCCCAGCAGCAGGAACTAGGGATGTACAGCATTGCATGAGGCTCATTTCTGAATTTTAAGCATTCCAATGACTCCATTGTTCCCCTGTACATTTTTACAGAATGTTAAGCATCATACTTTATATCTTACCAGTCGCTTGCTATACAGTAATGCTGTACTGCTGCCACTAGAAACTGCCCATTTAGAGAAATGCATGACATGTTCCAGCTGCTTAGAAAGTCCAGCCACTTCCTGTTGTTGCTGCATAAGTTTCATGCGATGGTCCTTTGCAAGGCTCTGAAAAGAAAAAAATAGTTTCAAAATTAGTCTCTGCATTTACATTCACTTCAATGGTCAGTTTCAAATAACTGAATTAGAAAAAAACACCATCTCTACATGTTCAATTGATAGTAGTTGAAAAAATCTTAAGTGTTTCCCCCTTTAGTACAAAGGATCATGCTCAGTATAATAAAAACCTACATCTCAAACATCTGCCATCCAGCCTCAGTCCAAGTCTGGTTTTACATACTCTGGATGCTGTGAAAATTATAAATGAAAGTAGATTCAAGGGTATCTTTATCTATTTTTTTAAAAATTCCTCAAGTAATTCTCATTTATAATAAAGTTTGGAAACATAGCCAAAGCAGTGTATGAATAACATCTCTAGAAAAACAAATCAAAGTGACATTTGTTTGTTAAGCAGCGCTTTATAAACTTCAAATTCTTCTCATATGTGTCCCTTTTTTCAAAAGAAAATTCCAAACCTCAAAAACTTAGTATAAATGGAGTCTTTATTTCTTCTGTTCAAAGTATGTCCTCTTGGTAGAGATAAATCAATTTGGTTGTAATACACTTGTGCATGGAAGCAATGCTAGGAATCTCTCTCTCTGTATAGCTATCCTTATCTCAACTAGCAAAAACACTTTGTCTTTCTTATTATTGCTTATGTCTACTCTTCAACAAAATTAGAGAAAGGGCAGAACAGGTTCTGCCAGGAAGCGAGGGGCAGGGGGACGACCCCGCACAAAGGGGAGAAGTGGCCCCAACAATGTATGCACATGTGAATAAATGAATAAAGAAAAGCAAAACAAATACAAAGTATGTCCCCACTAAATAACTACTTATTTCCAAAAGAACAGATAATTATTTTACTGTTTCCTGTATAGATGATAAATCATGGGAAAGACTGTGCTTTTCCAGGACAGACAGACTTTCTGAGAGAGTCCTTATCATTTGGTCAACTATGAAATAAAGAGGTGATCTAAACTAAATCATTTCTAGGAGTCTTATTTTACCTCATCTCTGCAAATACTAGGATTCTTTTATTTTCTTCTCATTCTAAATTGCTTCTTGACTGTGAATTCTTTCTGTAGCAACATACTAAAAGAATACATAAAGATCATGCAAAAGTTGTAATCTCATACTATTTGAAGTTAAACAATGACTTGGATATTGACTTTCATGAGTTTAGAAAAGAGGGTGAAGACTTCTCAGAGGATTAAATGTGTAGTCATGTACTGCGTAATAAATGGTATGTTGGAAGAAATGTGTCATTAGTCAATTTCATTCTGTGCAAACATCACAGAGTGTACTTAAAATAAGATGACTAAGAAGTCACTAGATGACATAATCTTATATAACTTGTTGTTGAGAGAAACATCACTAAGTAGTGCATGACTCTATGTATTTGAGGACTAAATATAACTAATAGTGTATCTTTCTAGAATGTTTTGCTAAACTCCATTTGGTGATGCAAAGTTGTCACTTTAAAGAATGTCTAAAATGACTCATCTCTTCAACATTCACAGAGCTCCTCCTACAAGCAAGGCTTTATGCTTTGTGCCATTAAAACAATGAGTAAGACTCCTAGTGTATTCTAAAGCTATAAATAGTTGGCTACAAAGTAGTACCTGGCAAAAGAAAACTTGGGGAGGCAGATGAAATGTTATTAAATCATAAATAGAAAGAACTATGACTTCCAATTCACAAATGCCTTAGCAAACACCGTATCAAATCCCTGGAGCATCGGTCCCCTGGCAGGAACTTACCTCTAGCTGGTGCAGCAGGGCTTTCCCTTTTTTATTTATTTCTACCATCAATGTAAAGATAGCAACTTTAATATCCTGTTCCACCTGCTTTTGATTTTGATTCACTTCAATTATTCTGAAAAATGAAAGGGGAAAACATTTAAAATTTAACACAGATTTGTAAAATAGTATTTGAAACCGATATTTTAATGTCTAAATTAGATCAAAATGTTTTCAGCCCTTAAAAGCTCTATCTCTAAGTTCTTCTATTAAAATTGACTGTCTTGAAGATGAGACAGGAGAGAGAATTCCTCCCAAAGATACAGTGATTGAATTCAACCTTAAAATCAAAATATATAACAATGGAAGAAAGTGAGCATATTCTGAGAAAATATAGATTCAAAAGATTATGATGACACCCAGGAAAATCGATTCTCCACTTAAAAGGATGCAATGGGGACAGTGAATGAACTAAAACTAGGATTTATAAACAAGATAAGGAAACTATGATTCTGAACAAGTTCTGTTGTATTCTCTGTAACTTGTGATACTCTAATCTAAACCCTCTGAATGGCTGAAGTACTCATTAAGCCTGAATAGAAGCATAAAGAAACAGTAGTTTTCTACTTTTAATAACACATTTACCTTAGTATAAGCAGCCAAATAACTATGTTTTATCAACCAAATACTTTTCTTTCTTTGACTAGAGAAGTGAGAATGCTACCTCATGAAAATGAATAGGATAGAAAGAAAACATACAGTACCAAACCAAATATCTTACAGAAGTAGCAAGGGACAATAGGGCAACTACCAAACATTATGAGATTAAGCAAAAAGCTTTGTTTCTACTGCCTCCTTCTCCCATTCCTACTTTCTAAAATTTATGAACAAAACTGCAGATATTTTATTCTTTCTTGGAAATTCTTTAAGATAATTATTTGATGCTGATATTGCTTTAAAATCAAGGAAAGTAGGTAGACCTCTGAAGCAACCAATCTCCAAAAAGTCATTTAAACCTTCATGATGGCAGACTGAGATGAATAAAGAAAAAAAAAATGCTATTTGTAAATACATGAAAAATGACTCAGTAGCACAGTTGTTCGGTAGAGTAAATTTCATCTTGCCTCAGAAAAGTTATAAAGAAATACAGGTGGACTGGAATAGAGGGCTTGCCTAGCATGCCTCAGGCCCTCAATTAAATCCTTAGTGCCATCAGCAAAACAAATGAAAAAACAAAACCAAAAAACCAACTGACCAAACAAAAACCTAAGAAACAGAAGCAATAAACACTCAGCTACACAGTTCAGAAACCAAAATCAATTAAAATAATGCTAGTATTCTATAAAGCAAAACATTAAAAAATTCCAAACCAGAAATTACTTAAAAAAAAAAAAGTAAATGAACAAATTTGGATAACTTACCCTGCCTGGTTTTTAGACTTACTGAAGCAGACTAACAACAAAAAATAACCCACCAAAAGACTCCCTTCTTTGAATGAATAAGATATCCTCATGCTAGATTTTTTTCTACTCCCCACATAACCCTGAGCCATCTCTAGAGCAATAAATCCCCTCTAAGATGTAAATACACTGGCAGTCATAAATATCTTTGCAAGATAGTATCCAAAGGGTGCCTCTGATCCTGGCTTACATGGTAAAAGAGAGGTCTGCTCCTAATTTGATTTCTTAGGCCAAGTTTTCTACTTAAGCCCTCATGAGTATTGGTCACATCTCATACATACAATTAAAGGCCTGGAAATTAACATAGACACAGGTACAGAAAACCCCATGGTATGCAATAAGGCTATGTTAATTAAACCTGCCAGTCACCCTGACCCTCCCTAGGACTGACCAGATTTTTCCCACCTTAAAACTTTTAAATTGATCTTAAAGAGACCAAGGCTTCTGTGCCACCTGGCAGGAACCCACCAGTTCTCTTGTGGTGCTTTCTTTTTTCTTTCCTCCCTTTTCTACTGTTTTTGCAATCTGTGTCCAGTTCTCTATTCAGGCAACACAAGAACTTGGGATCTTCTGGACTAGAGTCTTCTCAGACCACTTAGCCCAGATATATTGTAAGAAGCCACAGTGATCATGGAAGTGAGATATTAGCAAAAAAAAAAAAAAAACCACAATGGAACAGAATAGAGCCCAGAAATAATTCTACACTTCAATTATTTGTTCAATAAATGTTCATTATAAAATTTCCATCACTCAGAATCAAAAATTTTTAAAACACTATTCTGCTTGACAAATTATACTAGTCTGATTAGATTATGGGAAAGGAAATAGTACTTGGTTAACTATAGTTGTTATGTGAAAGACAAAAGTCGAAAAAGGAAATGAGCAAGCTGGTAAGAGTACAAAAACTAAAAGACCCAACACAATAATAATAATGACTATTATACTAAAGTAAACAGTACATTATGTTATAACAATAATAATACTGGGACATAAAAAAAGGTTAGATCATCTTTAAGAATCTCTTTTTGGTAAAAATAACAGATTTTTATGATTGGTCATAAGCAAGATGAACCTCAAGGGCAGAGATGATTTTTCCAAACAACAATGTTCAAAGACCCTGCAGGTCTCTTCTGTTCAGGCTCTTTCCATTAAGCATTTCTTGACCTATTTAGGCAGTGGCATGCTACTTTTGCATGCAAAACAACAAAAGAAAGAGGACATGGTATTGATAGGTAGGTTAAGGTGGAAACCAAATGTCAGTATGTGCCCCAAATGGGATTCAAAAAAGGGGTTAGCGAAACCATTTTTCAAAGAGGTTAGTGATTTGCTCCTCAATTGCTGAATTCTGAGATGTGAGCTTTGGCACAGCTGATTTCCTTTCTTGGAGGACAAAAGACATAATAAGTGATTATCTACAAACGGCTTACATACCCCGTATCAAAGAACAAAAAAGGTATCTGAAACAGGTTAACAGCTCCTATCTCCTTCTGTCCTAAAATTTCCACCTCTTTGCAATTAAAAGATCACAGGGAAAGCATCTCAAATTTGAGCAAACTTTAAAACAGCAGTTAAGTATAGAATCAAACGTTAGGAATATTTCACAATACTGGCAAAAATGGTTGATCTTGTTTTTAAACCTTGACATTTCTTTAAAACTAGAAAACATCACATAATTATAAGTACCTACCAGATAAATGAGTTATTACCAACTATGTTTATTATCACATTAGTTTTTAAACTTCATGGATGAAAAAAATGCTTCTGAACTCAGTTTCTGAAAAAGTATTATCGACCATGTGTTGTTAAGTCATCTGATAGTTTACTACTTACTTCACAATGAATTAAGGAAATGTCCTTTTCTAAAAGCAAACACACACATGTAATACAATAAATGCAAATTTACCTGTTTTGGATCTGATTTCCTGTATACTTTATATATTTTGTTTTTTCCATCAGCTTGGTGATAAGTGTATCTATGATCACTTTCTGATTCTGAAAAGCTTCTTCTATAAATTGATATCTGAATAAATAAATAAGATTATTTCATATATCTATATAATGAGGGAAAGAAAAAAGTTAAAAGTGAAATAATAATATAAAGAGGTAATACAATAAAAAAGGGTATAAATAATAATGCTTTAAGGCACTAAATATACCTCTATTAAGGCAGGTTTTCCCTTCCTCTCAAATTATTCTTGAAAAAGTCTACAGATACTATTTATGAGCACTCTTGAAAGTATTACAAAAGTTTAAAAAAGACACAAACTCTAGAGATCATCTGGCCGAACTGACAAAAAGTAGTCAAAGACAAATTAGCAGTTTTATTAACTACTTTGTAGTTTCATAATTATGAAAATCTGCTGAAATAAACATTTCAAGGTCACTTTTAATCAACAAGTAGCTATGCTGTACAGATAAACTGGGGCGAGGGGAGTCAAAACTCCTGATGTTGTGCCTTGTGATAAAGCTTTGAGCAAACACTACACAGGATATAGCACTTACAAAATGTACTAACTTAGAAGTGAAGGCAATCTATGTTAGCAAACTATGTAAAATAATGCAAGAGATGTACTAGAGAGGATCAGCAAGTGTAGAAGATCATATAAAGAATTCAAGTTTTTTCATGAAAGCACAAATACAGTATTTTTAGATAAATTTCACGTGTGACTTTAAATGTGCAAGTGTAATCAGTAAGTATTCTAAATAACTTTGTCAGAATTAGAAAAAAAGCAATGATTAATTCTATTGGACTTCCTTTGTTCATAATAATGACATTATTAATTTTCTTAGGCAAATTAATTTTTAAAATCTTAGTAAAATTATTTTTTACTACACTGTCTGGTACCTTAGTATGATGTAATACTAAAAGAAATAATTAAAATTCATTCTTTTGATGCTCCTAATCTCAGTGGAAAAACATTCAATATTCTATTATTAAGTATGATGTTTTAGGTTTTTCGTAGATAATGTTTATCATATTCAGGAAATTCCCTCTTATCCCTAATTTGCTAAGATTTTTTTTTAATATCATAAATGTATATTTAATTGTACTGGATGTTTCTTCTACTTGTATTGAGATGATTATATAATCTTTCCTTTCTTCGTTTATATGACATCGATTTTTTTTAACATAAGAATTTTGTATTCCTAAAATAAGGCCAACCTGATTGTGACTGTCTAAAACCACAGAACTACTCAAGTTAGTTTTCCTATTTCTTACAAGTTTTACATTCATTTCATGGAGACTGGTCTATAATTTTCTATTGATAGTCATCGTCAGTTTTTGGTATAAAGGTTATGCTGGCTTCATGAAGTAGATTACAAAGAATTCACTCTTCTATTATGATTACTCCTGAGACAAGGAATTTCTTATAAAAGAAAGGTGTTTTTACCAAAACTATTTTGTATACTCATTAGAGAAGCCATTGGGTCTGCAGTTTTCTGAGAAAGTTTTAAATTATGGATTTACATTATAGGACTATTACAATTTTCTACTTTATTTTACATTAGTTTAGAAAAGCTGTATTTTCTAACAAGTTCTCTATTTCATACAAAAACTTTGACTGACATACTGTTTCCATCTTTTTTTTTTTCTTTTATTATTCGTGTGTGCATACAAGGCTTGGGTCATTTCTCCCCTCTGCCCCCACCCCCTTCCTTACCACCCACTCCGCCTTTCCATCTTTTTAAACAAAAAACTGTATTTACTTAGACGCATTCAGAATGTCAACAAAATGACTACATTTTTGGGGGGGGGTATAATTACACAGTGGTGTTCAGTTCAAAGCACAACAGTTATTTTGTATGAGCTGCATCAGAGACAAATGAAGATAAAAAACTCTGCCATCCCCATACATAAATTATTAGTGCTATGCAACAACAACCTGCTTTGAGTGCCCATGCTAATTTACAACCCAGCAAGGTTATGGCTATTGAAAATACCACCAGAGCAGGTTATCTAAAGACACATTTGGTTGTGTGTTAACTGTATATATTTTTTCAACACACACACACACACACACACAAAGACACTATACAATTTAAAACAAATCTTGCACAGCCTAATAGTTCAATTTTTTTTCCTTTAAAAGGAGTGAGGTGTGTACATGAGGCTTAAATGCTTGATAGACAAGAAAAAAAAAACTGTGCTAGAACCAACTTATTCATCATCTTCTTCATTTTTCCCTTCATCTTCATCTTCCCCCTCTTGCTCCTATTCCTTCTTTTTCTTGCTCTTTTCAGTCTTGACAAATCCCTTTTCCACTGTTACCAGATTTTCCCTTTAGTGCACTAGGTAGCACTATCTTTTTGGCATTTTCCCTTCAGCTCTGCTGCATTCTTTTATATAAGGCTGCTTTGCCACTTGCTGCAGGGTTTTTTGTTTCCTATCTCTACAAGTTCCTCTGCAGCATCACCAAAGGTTAGGCTGATACTCAAGAACAGAACAAGAAGACTGAAGGACTCTTGAGTGCACTGATATTCTTGAAATTTTTATTCCCCTTTTAGAAAGGACACAGGATTTCATTTAGCAGACTCGGTCTCCCACCTCTATGAGCACTTGTTAGAAAACTCTGAGAAGTTGACCAAGTATGTAGGTGCTTTTCTTGTGCTCTTTCTGGCAAGTTTACACAAAGAATGCATATGATGACATTTTGTGGCTCAGCTTTTTAGGGTCTTTTGCCCATGTTTAACTGTTTTCCTCAGTGAGGCACAGAGAAAATTGGTTCTCATTTGCCGAGTGCTATCTCTGTGGAGCAAAATGTACTACAATGGCTGTCTCATTTTCATCTGTGGAATATGTAGTGATGTCTCTTTTGCACTCTTGGCATTATTTGGGCCTACTTTCTCTTCTTAATCACAAATAAAGGGATTTTTGCTCATTTTAGTAATCTTTTGAAAGACTTCATTTTTAGCTTTGACTGTTTCTGTATTTGTCTTTATTATTTCCTCTTTAAACCCAATTTAGATTTAATTGACTACTTTTCCTAACCTGTTTACTAACAAATCTCTGCATGTGAAGATATGTATTTTGGGCCTGATATAAAATTTATTTGAAAAATAAGTTTTAGCTCAGTGGTAGAGTGCTTGCCTAGCATGAGTAAGTCCCTGAGTCTGATTTCCAACATGTGGCAATGGGCTAGGGTGGGGAATAGGAATCACTTTCCTAGAAATCTCAAGCCTTGATCAATATGTAGTATTTTCACTATGATTCAGATAAAAATATTTTCCAAATCCATTAGAAGTTCTCTGATGATTTAATTAAACTTATTTTGAATGCTTATTTTCTAGTAATTTGAAAGTGAAATTTACAAGAGTAGAGATTTCATACCTTCACAATTTTTGCCTCATCATAATCCTTTAACCTTTGTAATTCAGTGCAAATTTTCCAAAAACAAGTACATTCACTTATCTAACTATAGGACAGTCAGTTATTAGTTTCAAGGAAATTGACATGGATACAATACTGTCATCTACTACCTACAGAGTATATTCCAATTATATCATTGCTTTCAATAATGTCTTCTAAATCATTTCCCCTCCAGTGTAGAATAAGGTCCAGGATTTTGCATTGGTGCATTTAGTTTTCATATGAGGTTCATTTCTTCATTTCCAAACATGATTTTTTTCTAGGTTAATTACATTGGAATATGCAAGTTATTTTATAGGAGATCCCTCTTTTCCTTCCCTCTTCCCCTTAATCCCCCAACCCCCATGCTGGAGATTGAACCTAGGACCTTGAATGTACAAGGCAAGTGCTCTACTACTGAGCCACACCCCAGTCCATATCTGGATATTTTGAACTGTGACTGGATACTATTTTGCAAAACTCATTACTGAATAAATTTAGGACTAGATTGTTATCTTTCTCTAGAACAGATTTATATTTGCTTCTACCAGGTGCTTTGGGGAACAGCAACATGACTTTAACCTAACTTTAGGTGTAGAACTTCAGTTCCTGTGAGGAACTACTTACTAGCTAATTCATCTTTACTATAAAAGCGTGGACTTTCAGAACCGCAATTCAAGGCAAGAGGAAGCCTTCACCCCTTATGACCTTTGAACCCTAATCCCTGACATCTCAGCCTTGGGATGTACTCCTCAACCTCCAGGCAAATGCCTAAGGGGGGAAAAGGCCCCTTCCATGTTCCGGCCCCATTCCAACCTAATCCCAATTCAATAATTCTTTACTACTTTAGTAGCACTAAAAAATTTTGTAGATGACTTCTGGATTTTTGTCCAGGTTTTCCACTTGTGATCATCACTATAGTTGATCCAGATGATCTAGACATTGTATATGTATCAATTAATCCAAATCTTACTATCTAAATCAGTGGCTGCTAACTCAAAGGTCTATTGAGGTCAGATGTAAAATTAACCTTTGGTAGGGACTGTAATGAACTGCAAAAGGCAAGCCTCATTCCAAAGAGCATAAAGTTAATTCTAGCCAAAAGCTGGCATGAAAGCATATGGACTCAGCCAGGCACTGGTGGCTCAAGCCTGTAATCCTGTCTATGTGGGAGACTGAGAACGGGAGAATCATGGTTTCAGGCTGGCCTGAGCAAAGAGTTCATAAGACTCCATCTCCAAAAATAACCAGAGCAAAGAGGTGGCTCAACTGGTCAAGTGCCTGCTTTACAAGTGTAAGTCCTTAGTTCAAACCCCATTCCCACCAAAAAAATAAAAATAGAAAGCATATTGATTCAACTTGCCTAACATGCATAAGGCCCTGAGTACAACCCCTAGCACTAAATAAACAAATATAAAATAAAATAAAGAAAGCAAAGCAAAGCAAAGCTTTTTAAGTTGGGCACACTTTAAATCTAGCACGTGGAAGGCTGGGGCAGGAGGATTGTGAGTTTGAGGCTAGCCTGGGTTATGTATCAAGACACTGTCTCAAAAAAACTAAAGTAGATGGACCTAGGGTTGTAACAACTATTTTCTATAAAAACATAATTCTTTTTTAAAAAAATGTAAAATCTCCTTACTGTATAACATTAACAACTAATTCCAAACATTCCACATATTCACTGTATGTGAGCTAGTGTATCCCAAGTTAAAGTGATTTTGCTCCATAGGACATCTGAAATGTCTTGAGACATTTTATAATCATTTTTTAAATTTTCACTCAGGACAGGTGTGCGGATGCTACTGGCATCTAGTTGGTAAAGGTCAAGATACATACAATACAACGCACACAGTCTCCTCAAACAAAGAATTATCTAGCTTAAAATGTCAACAGCTCTAAATGTGAGAAACCCTGGTATAGATCAGCATACTACTGGCCAAACAAAACAGATCTGCAGACTGTCATTTGGCCGGGTGGTAGCAGTCCTTAAGTCTGCATAAAGCTGCATTGTAAATCTGTGTACATAATGAAAGATGCTGGTACCTATGTTCTTTGTGTTCTAGCAGTTGACAGTCCCGACATGTCAACTTGTCACATGTCTCGCAGTAAAGCTTCAATTGCTCCTTTTTATGAAAAGGACAAAACACTGGTCGCTGACTGGTCACACCAACTGCCTCTGCAGAACAATGGGAGGCAAAGAGAAGAAAATTAATATAACTGAATGGTAAATAAATACTACATTGACCATTTATACTTAAATTCATTGATACAGAAGAACTACAAAGTTTCAGCTATGCTGTTAACTACCACTAGGTATTATAAATATTACATATTCTCAGCATTTCATTAAAAAAGTAAATGAGCTTTTTACTTTCTAATGAAAGAATGCACATTAATTCAAGAGTATTTTAAGGGTTAATAGTATAGTTAAAAAGATGTTTTATGGAATTAAAAAGCCTTATGAACACAGTCCAAATATAAAAGGGGATTTTTAAAAACTGCAATTCGGTGGCTCACACCTGCAATCCTAGCTACCCAGGAGGCAGCGAACAAGAGGATCTTGGTTTGAAGCCAGTGCGAGCAAATAGTTCATGAGACTGTATCTCGAAAAAAAGGGGTGGCGGAATGGCTCAAGGTGTAGGCCCTGAGTTCAAATCCCAGTATGGCACAAAAACAAAAGAAATGAAAACAAAACTCGATTTGGAAAATCTAGTAAAAATGTATAAGAGGAATAAATAATTTTTCTCTTTTTTTGTAAAAATTCTAACAGAGGATACCCATTAAGACGGAAGTAATCATATTTCCACTATTATACTGTAGTTACCTACATGACTTCTCTTTACTTTTCCAAAGTGGGGACAAAACTGAGAAATGCTCATGTTATAATGGTAAGTGAAAAAATCAGAATAAAAGTTACTATAATGACTGATTAAATATAAACACAAGTTTTCTCATTAATAATTAAAGGTAAAATCCAAACATTTCAGAAATAATTCCACTTCCAGAGATAACTCTATTAATAACCTGGTATGTGTTCCTCTGGTTGTTTTTCTAGGTATAGAAATACATATGTATACTGAAGTGTTTTGTTTTATAAAACAAATTGCACTATAGATAGTTTGATAAGATGTTTTCTTTAATTAACTTTATCTGAAGTAGCTTTCTCAATTAGTAAACGCATCTCATTCTTATTAATTAGTTAATTAATTTTTGAGGCTGAATCTCCCTATGTGGCCAAGGCTGATCTTGAAGTTGTAATTTCAACTTCAAGTTTCTGCCTCAGTCTCCCACTCATTCCCTATTCATTAACTGCATAAAATTCCATGAAACTGCCTACTAGTGGACATTTGGAAGTTTCTCATTTTTCCAATATTGTATGAAAACACTGAAGCAAACAGGAAATGTATAAATCATTTGAATCTTTCCATAAGATAAACTTCTAGTGGTATAATTGTTAGATCACAGGGTAATATACTCAGAAACAACTAAATGGTCCCCCAAAACTTGCAGCAACTTGCAGAGGTGGGGGACAAAGAAAGTTTTCACTATATTTAGATCATTTCTTTAATAGCTAATCAGTCATCAGCCATTTGTATTTCTTTTAAGAACTGCCTACTACTTACTTCTGCCATTTTGGTCTAATTCCTTTTATCATTTTTTGTCCAATTCTCTTTTTTTATTGACTTGTATAGCCACCCACCTGAAAAACTGTCTGCCAAATATTTTAGAAGTATTTTTACCCAGTTTGACATGAATTACATTTTTCCAAACAGAATTTTATGGCTTCAGTTGTTGACAAATGGTTCTAGAAATATACCCCTCACAGGTACATTTTTGTAGTTACTCTTTTATTATTTAAATCTTTATTCATCTCAAATTTATTTTTATATCATTCTCAATCCTTTCAAAAAACCTTACATGTATACCAGCAAGGAGAATCAGTTCATGGATTCATATATTGTGATAATACAATAAAACTATAAAGTTGAAAATAAAAACTACCAAAACCAAACCTCTAAGATAATTTTCTTATCAATTCTTTTCAAGAATTTTTGGGTTCATAACAATCATACCATTCAACAATTTACTTTTCACATTAAATACATGAAGTGGTCATTTACAGAACTGCCAAGGTAGAAAACAAATAAAACCAAAAATTCATAAATCTCCCAACTGCTTGGTAGCTATAAATGAAGAGTATCTTAAATATAACAGGAATGAAGTGGTAATTAAAAATTCAAGATTTAAACACTTATTTAAGTAAGAAAAAGGAAAACAATGTTAAGTATACATCTCAACCAAGTTAGTAATGGAACTTTAAAATAAAAGTAAGGTACCCTATGAGAAATACAACATAAGATTGATGAACTAATGAGTACTAAATAGGAAATTAGATGCATATATCCAACGGTTGTTTCCATAGATAAAAATAAAACATAACCTACTATCTAACTCAGAAAAAAAGGATAAATATACATAGAATTCAGAATTAAAAAAAAATAACCACACAGAGAAAGCTGGCATTTTATGATTTGGATATGATGAATCCTCCAAAAAAGTTCATGTGTGAAAGTTTGGTCCCTGGCTGGTGGCTCCAATCACTGATAGGTTATTGAATCATGAAGGCACTGACTAATAAATGGATTGGTCCGCTGATAGATTGATTCATAGCTCAACAGGCTACTAGGAGGTGGGGCCTTGTGGAGGAAATAGGTCACATGAGAGAATGCCTTTGAAGGGTGTATCTTGTCCCCTGCCCTTCTTCCTAGCTCTCTCTGCTTCCCAGCAGCCAAGAAGTGAACAACTTTGCTCTATTACCTTTCCTGCCATTATGTTCTGCCTCACTAGACCCAGAAACAATGGAACTGGCCAATTTGAACTAAAAACTGCCTTTGAATCTGTGAACCAAAATAAATCTTTGCCTCTTTACATTGTTCCTTTCAGTATTTTTCACAGTAACAAAAAGGCTGACAAACACAGCAATATATTACAAGAATATTAAAGCACAACAGATAAGACTCAATGGAATTAATTCCAGCAATGCTAAAATGGTTGAGTGTTAGCAATTTGAATATCCTCATAGCATCCTGCTCACTTCCCCTGATGTTCATGCCATCCAGGGTCTAAATGTAGAAAGGTTGATCAAGTATCTTTGACTTGCTTGTGGCAACCTGATTTGTTAATGTTGCCCAGGAATAACATAGTGCCTCTTTCTTATTTAGATAGAAAATAGTTTATGTGTTTATAGACTCCTTTTATTTTTGAAGTATTTGGATCCTGACTCATAATTATCCTCCTACTCCTAGGTCTCATCATCCTGGATGCTTTACAAGTTCAAATCAATTACCACAAGAAAGCCAGAGACCTACACTTCATTTTAGCTACATACTCCATGAGAACACCCTAGAATTTTCATTGTCCACAACTGTTCCATTTCTGTAATCGCAAATTCAAACATCCTGCTCTAATTAAACATTTTAAACTTTCTAATTCTTGCTTACTACTCTCACTGTATCTCATTGTTTTCTCTAGTCTCTAGCAACCAATCCTTTCTCCACTTTAACATGTGTCATTATAGTCATCTCTTATGATGTTGAATTTCTGTAACACCTGTCAAGTTAAGCCCCAATCATATACATGTGTCCAGTTCTTCTCCATACTCAACCCAGACTGCTGAGACCTGATGCTACCAAGCAAATCTTCTGTTTCTATAGCTGCAGCATTGTCAACTGGAGTTATTTGGTCTCCAATCAAAATCTCCAAATTAGAGGTTGGTACTCCTTTCATGTGCTGTTAGAACATATTTGCTTATGGTCTTTACTATACTATTATCTCCTAGAGTCCTAGTCACATTTTCATTTTCAATTCTTAGCAAAGTTCCTAGAATAAAGAACAGGCATACAAATACTGCCTGGCTCAAAGAATAAAGAGCAGCAAAATAAATTTTAAACAAAAAAATAGTAATGAGCCATAAAAGGGAATTATGTTCTGAGATAAGCTATATATGTGAACCCTTAAAATATTATGCTAAGGGAAATAAACCATGCACCAAAGGAAATAGATAGTGGTGATGATTATAAAACATTGTGAATATATGGAATGCCACTGAATTTGTACACTTAAAAATGGTTAAAATGACAAATTTCATGTTGCACATATTTTACAAAAATAAAAAAAATCTATGGGTGAACTTCATATTAAAAGCAACGTAATAAAAATTGGATACCATAATTACACAAAAAAAGCAAATCTTTTTGGTTATTTATATGTCACAAGGCAAATATCACAAAGGAGTTTACTACAAGAACATCAGAAGTAAGATTTAAAAAACATTTAAGCCCATTTCTTGTCACATTAGACAAAAAGGGAGAGAAAGTAAAAAATAGCAACTTTTTTTTATGTCATTTACTCTACATTCACACCAAATTAAGACATTTTCAGCAACAGGAGCCTTGGGAATGTGAATGGAAGGCAGGATTCGACATTTGTAAGTACTCAAATTTCAACTATAATACTGACCTTCTGTATTTAAAAAATAAGTGAATATTTAATGCTTATAAGTATTTCAAATAAGTCAATATAGGAAGGTAGGGAAAAAAATGAAAAGAACTATTGATTACCTGGAGATACTTCCTCTTTCTGTCTGACAGTGTGGTCTTTCGTGAACTTCACCCTTTGATGAGCTCTAATACATGTCTTGCAGAGCCATTCCACACACTCTACACAGAACCCATTAGCTTCGGCATTGTCTTCACAGCTTGTACATACCTAGTGATAAAAGTAACATGTCACGTAAGTGTTGAGAGAAATGAAAAAAAGCTGGTCATGTCACTGTCAAACATAAATGACATGCCAACCACACTCTCAGTTTTCTTTTTTAAACCGTGTTTATTAAGTTTAAATTGATGCGTGCTGAAACTGTATGTACATACAATGGAACAGTTACGCATAGGTAAGGATTATTAGAAGTACACTCCGACTTACTTCAATATGCTAAATATTCCAGACACTAGACTAGGTGCTGAGGACACAATAGTCAGGAAAAGCAATCACAGAGCTGTCCTTATGATGCCAACATTCTCATAGAGGAAGAAAAGATTCAAACCCAGTTCCCCTACGTAGTAGCTGAGTTCAAACCCAGTTCCCCTACTTACTGAGTGGTCTCAGGCAAGTTAGAGTACTCATCTTTAAAATGAAGGTAACCGCACAGGTTTTCCTGAGTAGCTGTAAGATAAATGGGAGGTAGACACACCAATACCTAACTATTGAGAAATATCATAAGGAATGTATGACAAGTTGTAAGGGGATAGTATGGAGAAAGGGATCTCATCATAGTGGCATTGCAAAGTTAAGGAAAGCAAGAGGAGAGACTATCCAGTGGGAACTTTTACTAAAAAGACCCTATCAGCACCAAGATATGAAAGTTGAATCAACAACCTCTGGATGAAAAACATTTTAAGGCAGAGGGAGAAATATCATCAACAAAAATCTGCTGCCAGTGACTCATGCCTATAATCCCAGCTACTTAGGAGACTGAGATCCTCCAGATTTCAGTTTGAGGCCAGCCCCGACAAACAGTTCTTACTCCATCTCCAAAATTACCACAGCAAAATGAACTGGAGGTATGGCTCAAGTGGTAGAGTGCCTACTTTGCAAGCATGAAGCCCTGAGTTCAAACCCCAGTTCCACCAAAAACAGCAACAATAAAAAACACTAAAAAACAGTTGCAGGTGAAAAGACAGATACAAAGAACTGAAAGAAAAAAAGCAAGATCAAGTATGGGCAAGAGAAGATGCTGGTGGCAAGGCAGGCAGGGCCCAGTCAAGCAGAGTCACATGGCAATGTTTGTCTTTGTTTGACGAAATCTACTGAAAACCTTTCAGTAACAAAGTGGCATACCCAGATTTGCATCTTAAAATCACTACTGCTGAAATGTGGAGAACGGATTAGATAAGATTTAGACTAGAACAGATTTCTGCATTGAGCTTAACTGGGAGAATTTTCAGTGGTTTATAGATGAGGGTTTGTGGAAGCAGAGGTTTAAAAAAATGAATGAATTGGAGAAAGATTTAGGTTTGGACAATGCATTGGATATAGGTGGTGAAGAAGAGACTGCTCCTATATTTCTAGTATATATATATATATATATATATATACATGGTGGTACCATTCTCTGAGTACAGATGTTAAAGTTTAGACAACATGTAAGCAGTTCATCTCATTTGTTGTTGGGAAAGAAAGAAACTACTAAATCCCAAATACCTGGATAATATTTCCAGGAAACCAAATCTTCCTTTTCTTAGCTCTTATCATCCTCAGCTTTTCTAACATTCTTTGTGTTACCAAGACCTGCTTCCTTGTGGTCATTTGGATTTCTTGATACCTGCCAATCCTCCTCTGGATCCACTTTCCAAGCTTTGTCCTCTGATGCTATAGATTTCTGTTAGATCTTATCTCATGTACTTCCTGGGCTGCAACTGTCACTTGAATAAGGATGCCACCTAAAATTTAATCTCCACAGGAGGCTACACAAACGCATGAGAAATGTACATTCTACTCAGGAAAGATCTCTAGTAAATGAAGCAAAATTTAAAAAGGAAAGTAGGAAGACTATGTAAATGCTACTGCTAAGTTAAGAATGATGGGATGATGCGGGATGATTTATTTAAAAATTACATAAAACACTATAACTGAAGGATAAATTTTATAAAAAAACAATAGTTATTGCTAATGTAGAGAAGAAATAAAGTAGTTAGGAAGGTGAGGTAGGGATAGAAGTTCTACAAATATATCCTGTTCTCTAGGTTTTACTTCAGAAGTACATGAATGCTTTATATGCAGTTTATACAAATATAAATAAAAAATTTAAATCCCTAAACATCAAAACCAAGATGAAACAAATAAAACTGCCTATCAAGTGGGTTGCTTAACCACAGAGAAAAAAAATTTGTTACAAGTTAACTTTAAAACATGATTTAACTGAATACCTCCAGGGCATACAAGGTATGGTGTACCTGCTATCTTTCTTGCTTTATGTTTTGATACGAGCACATTACAATTTCCTCTCAGTTATAACTCCATTCTTCTATACACTCTTATTCTGCAAGCCACACTGCAGAAACTGCTTTACAAGCTGATTTTACTTTAGAGTCTAACAATGGGTAGTGCTGAAAGGAAGTGCAACATGCAGAAGAGACTGGATTCTTGTAGGATCAATAATTTCTATGATTATCAGTCTAGAAACGCTGATGCTGCTTCACCCCAGCAGCAGCAGTTCCTTCTCATAGAAACAGCTCTCTAGTTGGCACTTTTTCCAAGATGTGTAGAACCCACTTCAGCAGTACCAGCACTACGGGCTCTGAGATTTGGGTCTCATTTTAAACATTCAGACTCTGGCACCAGCCAAGCTGCAACTACTTCTCACATGTTTGAGCTCAAGTTTGCTTGACCACTCTATCTTCTAACCTTTTTTTTCCACTTACAGTGCTGGGGATCAACCCCAGTGCCTTGTATATACGAGGCAAGTGCTCTACCACTGTACTACACCCTGAGTCCATAACTTTCTACCCTTGTTTTGCTGGCAGCATTGTGGTTTGAAATCAGATCCTCTACCACTTGAGTTGTGCCCCCAGGCCTTTTTCCTTCAGATTGTTTTTTTGAGACACTAGTGCTTTTGCCTGGGCCGGCCTTGGACAGGATCCTCCTATCTCTGCTTCTCAAATACCTGGGATCAGAGATATGCGCCAGCACCAGCTTATTTTTTGAGACCAGGTCTTGCTACCATTTTTTTTTTTCAGGCTAGCCTTAAACTGTGGTCCTACTGTCTTCCACCTCTCAAGTAGCTAGGGTTACAGGTATGAGTCTATTTCCTCAGCTGCCACACAATGCTGCTAACTCTGTGATACTTCAAGAATTACCTTTTTGTTTTTTTAAAATACAACTGTGTATCTAGTTAACAATTCTTGATTTTAAGAATTAAAATGGTTCCTTATTGCACTAAGACTAATATAACATATCCTATAATATAAAATGTATATTTTTCTTGGAAAAAATAATTGCCAACATAAAGAACTAAGATTTCTAGTATAGAAAAGACAAAAAATATAAAATTAAAAGTAAACCCCTATAATTCTAAATTTGACTTGTAAGTATCAGCATATACTTACACTGGAAGAGTTGCTCAAGTGGTAGAGCAATTGCCTAGCAAGTCCAAGGCCCTCAGTTTAAACCCCAGTACCACCAAGGGGAAAAAAAAAAAAAAGGCAGTATGTACTTACAGTTCATCTTTTTAATAAAAAGACTTTGTTACATTACTTTTCTGAAAGGCCTAGAACCCAGTGGTGATGTGCGCCCATACTGTGATCTACAGAATCAATTCCTTTTGTTTTGTGCTAGAGATTGAACCCAGGCCTCATTCATGCTACACACACACTCTATCACCTCACTCACATCCATTCTTTAAAGCTGGCTCCACAAAAATTATAGGCGTATCTCCTACAACAAGCCCTGTTGCAGACATCAAAATTAGTCACATACATATATGAAAAAAAATTCCAATAAGCATAGCTAATAACCATTTTTCCCTAAGCAGACTTAAATCTTTTGCTTTGTATTAAAGGAACCGCCTACAGGAATCATTGATAAATAAGGATCCACAGGTAGATAAATACACGATACTTGACACTAATCCCTACTAGAGAGCCAAAGAATATCCTTAGGGACCCAACATCTAGATTTAAAAGGCGATTTAAGAGGCCAATAGAAATCTTCTATATGTTAAGCCAGACAAGGTGGCACATGCCTGAATTCCCAGAACTCAGGAGCTTGAATCTAGTTTGAGTTATATAGTGACTCTGTATCAAAACAAGGCCAGGTACAGTGGCTCATACCTGTAATCCCTGCTACTTAGGGAGGTGCAGATAAAAGAAGAGGATCACTATCTGGGCAAAAAGCAAGACGCTATCTGAAAAATAACCAAAGCAAAAAGGACTGTGTGTGGCTCAAGTGATGAAGTGCTTGCCTAGCAAGCAATGAGGCCTAAAGTTCAAACACTAATACCACTACTAAAAAAACAAGAGGACGACAAAAGATGTGGGTTATAGAAGTAGGAAGGAAAAGCAAAATATCATTGGATCTCTAAATCCAGCACTTTGGACAATGCTGCCAAATGAAGCATTCATAGAAATAACATGTAGAAAAGAAGCCTGTATTTCTTCTTTTTTTTTTCCTCCTTTCCCCTCCCCTCTCTCTCTCTCTCTTAGTTTGTTTTTGAGACAGGGTCTCTACATAACACCTCAAATGCTGAGTTCACAGGCACACCCGGACGAGAAGATTTTCTTAAAAATATAGAAACCTTACTGATCAAGACATAATGTATTTCCTATGTATCATTATATAGTTTAATAATTAAAATAGAAAGATGAAAAAAGAATGAAGTAAAAATTTAATTACTAAAACACAGTAACTCAGTACAAAGCAATGAAATATGATAAACAGACTTTTTCTCTGGAGGGTATGGGAAATATGGGGATAGAATCTGGGACTTCCGCGTTGACAGAAATAAACTTCTGTTTTATTTCTTACATGCTCAATATCATTTAATGTCAGAGATTAATGGACTAAAGTTTGGCTCCTCTCATGTACAGTCCTCCAGCATTTGGCAAAAAGTTCAAGATTTAAGCGCTTACCTGATTCGACTTTTCTACTGTACTGCTGGGGACCTCTGTAGTGTCCTTTACGAAAAAGTTATCTATGATGTGTCTTTCTGCACACTCTTGGCTGCAAACTGGGCATCGAATGACTCCAACTGTGAAAGACAAAGTTTCAGTCTAGGTTTTAACACAAATATACCGAGTACTAAACCAGTACATCTCATTTAAACTGTAATTGCTTTTTTTCTTGTAATTTCTGTTCTTTTTAAAATCATACCTGCTTTCTAAATTCACAAGCAATTCATTTTATGTACATATACATGAATTTTATTTATATCTCACACACGAAATATATTAAATGTTGCATAAATCCTATCATCATAATTATCATTATTATTATTTCGTAGCACTGGGGATTGAACCCAGGTCCTCATGCATACTAGGCGAGTGTCAGCCGATAAGTCCTCCTGAATTTTACCAAACATCCCCATGGCTACTGTTTTAACTGTTTAGCAATTTTTCTAGCCCAGTTTTTAAACAGGGATGTGTAGATCACAGATTTTTTAATGAATAAGGGGCTTTTAAATGAAATATATAAGAACAAATACAAAACAAGTGCCAATTCATCTGTATATATCCAAGCAATAAGCCAATAATTTTAATTAAAAGAAATGCCTGAGCCCATGTCAGTGGCTCAGGTCTATAATCCTAGCTACTTGGGAGGTTGAGATCAGAAGACTACAGCTTGAGGCCAGCCTGAGCAAATATTTCATGAGACCATCATCTCCAAAACAGAGAAAAATGGACTGGAGGTGTGGCTCAAGTGGTAGAGTGCCTACTTTGCAAACATGAAGCCCTGAGTTCAAACCCCAATCCCACCAAAAAAAAAAAAAAAAAAATCTGCTTGGGGTAGGGATATAGCTCGGTAATACAGCACTATCTCACAAGTGTCAGGACCCTGAGTCACTCTTCAGCACCAGTTTGTGAGACCCCATCTCCAAAAACTAACCAGAGTGAGATGCACTGGAGGTGTGGCTCAAGCCATACAGCGCCTACTTTGCAAGTGCAAAGTCCTGAGTTCAAACTCCAGTCCCACCAGAAAATAAACTTTAAGAGATTTATAAAAATCATTATAGAAAATGTTGTTGGTTTTAAAGCATTAAAAAAAAAAATTCATGATTATAAAGATGCCAGTTCTCCCAAATGTATTTATAGATTCAATGCAGTTTGGGGCGGAGGGGGGGGTGGTTGTTAGTGCTGGATATTGAACCTGGAGTCCTACAGATGCTAGGCAAGCACTCTCCACTTGAGCTACACACTCAACCCTTTTGGTCTTTTTGTTTTTGAGATAGGGTCTCATTACTACCTTTGCCCAGGCTAGCCTTGAACTCATGATCGTCCTATCACTGCTTCCTTCCAAGTACCTGAGGTTACGGGCATGCATCACCATGCCCAGCTTGGAACTTTAACAGGATGCTGGTGAGCTGAGGCCACATGCTACTAAATAATAACACATATTACAAAGCTATAGAATTCAGTAATTTACTTCATTCCGGTATTTATGTAAAAGTAAACAAAAATAGAACTGAAATGCACACCAGAAACAGACTTGCATATATGTACAACTGACAGATATGACCCTAGAAATCAGAGGAAAAATAGATGAACTTTTCAGGTTGCTGGAACAACTAATTATCTATTCAGGATAAGGGATGAAATCAGATCTCTTCTTTACCTGATCCAAAAGAACAGTTCTTTGGATACATTAAGAACTTCAGGACTGGCTCAAGTGGTAGTACGCCTACTGTGCAAGCACGAAGCCCTGAATTCAAACATCAGTCCCACCAAAAAATAAAAATAAAAAACAAAGAACTTTAAAAATTTTGCTATAGTTTTGAGTATTAAATGTCCCAATTGTCTACCTGTTAAAGGCTGGTTCTGAAAGTAACATTACTAGGAAGTAGTGGAACCTTCAGGAGGTAGGGCCTTGTGGGAGAGGTCACTAGGTCATTGGGGATATGTCCTGGAAGGAGGTTGTGTGACCCTGGCCCCTTGCTACCTCTTGCTTCCTGGCTGATGGTCTGACTGGCTTTCTTCTACTGCGTGCTACCACCCGGATGTGCTGCTTCACCAAAGGCCCAAAGCAACAGGACCAACCCATCATGGACTGAAACTTCAAAAACTGTAAGCCAAACCAAAAGAAACTATTAAAAAAAATTTATTCTCTTGGGTATTTTGTTATATGAATGGAAAGCTAGCTAGCACAACATTTACAAAGAAGCAGAGAATATCTTTGTGACCTTGGAGTAGGAATAAACTTCTTCATCAAAATGAATGTTGTACAACTACAGGTAGTCAAAAGATGATTGTGTTCAGCTGGGTACAAGTGGCTCAAACCTATAATCCTAACTACTGGGGAGGCAGATATTAGGAGGATCAGGGTCTGAGGCAGACAAGGGCAAATAGTTCACCAGACTCTATCTCAGAAGTACCTAGCACAAAAAGGACTGGAGGAGTAGCTCAAGTGGTAGAAGGCCTACCTAGCAAGCGGGAGGCTCTGAGTTCAAACCCTAGTACTGTTCCCCCTCAAAAGATAACTATGTTCAAAAACAGAAGAGAAGCCCCAAAGTGGCCTAAGTTCAACACATAATTACCAAGAAGTACCATTCCAAATCTGTAAACACAATAGTACATTTCGCAGAAGAAACATTTTTATTAGTCTTCCAGCTAAGTACAGCTAAACACTGTACTCATTCTATGTAAAACAAAAATTAAGAAAAATGAAACATAAAGAGAAGTCATACTGGTGAGAGAACCTAGCACCCAAGGACCACAATGGTGAGTTTACTAGGCTTTCTTTTATCTTCAGATATTCCAAAAGAAATGCTTATAAGGCCAGCATCCCCAAAACACCGAAAGGCACAAACAAAAGTCCCATAGAAGCTTGCTCCATCTACCCACAGAAACATGCAAAGGGCAGCCTTGGAAGACAAAACTTTGAAGCAATGAACACTCAATTTCAGGGGACCATCACAGAAAACACTGTAGCAAAGGCCCAATGGAACGCCTAAATTTCTACCCTGTGAGACAAGGTAAGTGCTCTTGAGCACTTCCTGCTGGAGAGCCTCTGGAGTAGCAGTGTATCAGATCAGGAGAGCCCCTGGAGTGTCAATGGCAACTACTCAAGGAGCCAGAGTACTGCTGAGGTACCTCCACTTCCAAGCTGGATTGCAGGCCTAGTGAACAGAAAGAACTTCCATTGCCATAACCTCCTCTTGCCACCACCATGTCCCCAACTCCCTAGGAGTGTCAATGGACAGCATCCATGTTCCTCCCTGCCAGGGAAGTTTCCACAGAAACCTCATGGAATCAGAAGAGGGAACATGGAGTGCAACTCCTACCTTGCAGTAGGCAGGAAGTAAAAATGTAAGAGCAGAAGTCAATGGAAAAAAGAGAGAGAAGTCAATGAAACAAAAAGCTAGTTATCTAAAAAAGTCAATAAAATTAACAAATGCCCAGCAAGACTAACAAAGAAAAAGTAGACAACATGCCAACAATAAGAATGAAAAAAGAGGATAAGACCAAGTGGACATCAAAAGGCTAATAGGGGAATATTAAAGCACTGATACACATAAATGTCAACTTAGGTGAATGGACCAATTTCTTGAAAAGCACTGCAACTGACCCAGTATGAAACAGAAAATTTTAAAAACCCTGTAATGATATGGAAATTGAATGGCTCTAAGCAAAATGTAACATGTAGGCATAAGCCTAACAAAACATGTATAGGACCTATATGGTGAAAACAACAAAATAATGATATAATAAAAGACAATCTAATTAGATGGAGAAACGTTCATGGGTTGGGATAACCAATGCAATAAAGATGTAAATACTCAAGATTTTTTTACTCCCATTCCCATTTCCTTTCTTTCCCCCATTTCTCTATACTTTATCCTCCTATACTAAGAAAATCCTTGCTAAACCTTTGCGCGCGCGCACGCGCACACACACACACACACACACACTCTTTAATGTGATCTGTAGGTTTAAAACAATTCTTAATACAATCCCAGCAATTTTGTACATAAAGTCAGGATTGTTTGAATAGAAATGCAAATGTAAATTTGTTGTAAATCAATAAAAAAGACGATAGTGAGGGAATCACTTCTCAATTTCAAGACTTACTATCATCTATAGTCAGGCCACCATATCCCTGGGCACTGCATCTGCAGAGCCAACCAGTCTCCTACCAAAAACATTCTGGAAAAATTGCATCTGGCTGGATGCTGTGGCTTACCCCTATAATCCTAGCTACTCAGAAGGCTAGGAGGATCATGGTTCAAAGTCAGCCCAGGCAAATAGTTTGTAAGACCCTATCTCAAAAATACGCAACACAAAAAAGGACTGGCAGAGTGGCTCAAGGTGTAGGCACTGAGTCCAACCCCAGTACTGCAAAAAAAAAAGCATCTGTACAGAGCATTTACAGACCTTTTGTTGTTGTTGCTTTTAATCCCTAAACAACTATTTACACTATATTAGGAGTTATAAATAATCTAGAGATGATTTTAGTATTAGGAAAGAAAAGTTACATGCAAATATGAGACTTGTTAAGACTTGAGCACCTCTGAATTTTGATAACCATGAGGCTTCCTGGAACCAGTCTCCCCAGATACTGAGGATAACCGTAGCTACAATAATCAGGAATGTGTGTTACTGACAAAAGGATGACATATAGTTGAATAAAACATAATAGAGAACCTGAAACAGACCCATACAAGTAGGGCTAAATCATGTTTGACAGAACAGCAAAAGTATCTTTATGTTGATAAATATAAAGGTATTCATGAATTCAAGATTCAATATAGTAAAGATGTCAGCTTTCTCAAATTGATCTATAGGCTGATATATTCTTATCAAAATCCCAGCTAGACATTTTACAATTATAGACAACATTATTTAAAGATTTTATATGGGAAAGAAATGGCTTTGAATAGCTAAACCAATTTTGAAAAAAAAGAACAAAGTGAAAAGAAAAATTATGTACAATATTTAAGACTAATAGGTACAGTTGAGTCAAAGTGTATTAGGGGAAGGACAGGCACATAAATAAATGGCCAGAATAGAGAAGCCAGAAAAGGCATCCACACAAGTAAACCAAGCTGATTTTTGACAAAGAGGTGAAAGCAATTTATTAGAAGAAAGTAGTCTTTTCAATAAATTGTACTGAAACAATTGGGTATTTTTGCCTGGGTATCCCCTAGGCAAAAAACTGAATTTGAACCGAAACATCACAGTTTATGTAAATATAACTCAAAGTGGGTTAGGTTTAAATGTAAAGCATAAAATTAGAAAACCCTTAGAAGAAAATCTTAATGATTTATGACTTGGTAAAGAGTTCCTAAACATGATACAAAAAAACACAATCAAGTGTGAAACCCTGAGTTCAAACACCAGTCCCACCCAAAACCAAAAAACACAATCCACAAAA